AAATATAAAGGATGATAAAAGATGATAAAAGATGATAAAATATGATAAAAGATGATAAAAAGATGATAAAAGATGATCAAAGATGATAGAAGATGATAGCGGTTTAAAAAAAAAATAAAACATGATAAAAAAAAAAAAATGTTCAAAAATGTTAAAAGATGATAAAAGATGATAACTTCATGATTTCACGGCGATTTCATAGTGATTTCATGGTGTATCTTGATGGCGAACGATCTGAGGTCCCGGACTCAGTTTCAAGGCCAGGGGCACAGGTCCTCAGGCCGATCATGACCAGAGGTGTCAAAATGCGTAGCCATTGATAGTGGGATATAATGGGATACAGGGATAAATCACCAAGAAAATTCAACAATTCTGAGGATATTCCGATATGGCCACTAAAAACGAGATGATGGATGAACATGATGTGACCAACAGCCACTACGGGCAACCAACATTGATAATCTTTGCCTCTCAACATGGCATCGAGGGCACTTCACTATGGGAAAGCTCTTCACCAGTGCCTTTACAAGACGTCTGTTTGATCCGCCGACCAGCGAAAATTGAGTTCACAGGATCTTGTGTCCGGGAGGGGCGGCTCTGCAAGATGTTTTGAGTTGTTTGTGTCAAGTATTGAGTCCTGGTGCCACTGTTCCAGAATCAAACAGGACTTTTAATTGATTCATATCATGGCTCGCATATGTTCAAATCTCTCAACATCTTGCAGCCTTGGGCAACAGTCTGCACAACTGCGCATATCATCTCTGCATGGGAGCTACGTGCCGTCAAAACCATGCTGGTCATTCCGGGAATGTGACTTCTGGTGGGTTGCTCTTGTCGCAACCTGCCCTCTGAAAATGTTGTACCCCAGAAGGTACTAGTCTGGGGAAAGAAAATCAAGTCAATACCACAGCAAATGAACTTTGCACCATCTGCACCATCCTTAGCCTCTCAATCTGCACTGCTCTCACTAGGCTTTGGGTTGCGGCTATGGTCAAAGACCAGGCCCTTCATAGCCATGACAGCCTGGCGCGCTGTGCCGATGATCCTGGGAATGGTTCGCTTCGTTTTGAAGTGTAGACACGTCCTGAATCGATTTAAAAACATGGTTTTTAGTTTGAGAGGCACAGGGGTCCCCAGACTGCGCAAGGAATATGCAAAACTATTTACTTCAATACTTGAATCTTCATCCTGTTCTGCTCCTTCATTGTGTTCTGTTTTGACCTTCGAATGCATTTCCCAGTGAATGTCTGAAGGTTAATATTCACAACTGCCTTAAGAATGCAGCCCTCTTGCCTCTTGCACTCTGTAACCATTCAAACGAAAGGAAACCAAGGATTCAACGCAGAATCTGACATATGACAGAGTTCTGGCAGTTTTCCCTCGTAGCAAGAGTCGAGATGATCACTTCAATGCTACACAATAATTGGCCTCCATTTTTTGAAGCAACTTCGTACATCAACCCCCATGAGCTCTTGCCTAGCAACAAAACAACTGTGTATAGTCGAGAGACATACACAAAGAATGTGTGTGGACGGAAGTTCGCCAGCAAATGATACAACAATGTATTTTTTGACTTCGTTAGTATATGTCTAGCCATGTCTATCCGGCGCATGTGCACAGTGCACTTTTACCTGAATTTAAGTACATAATAATATGTCTGTATTTAAATATCATATACCAGTAGTACCGCACAAGGCGGTGGCGGAAGTTTCAAAAATAGCAAACCTATAGGAGAGGTTGGTTGCTGTGAATCACGGATGGCAGAGGGAATCCACTGATGGACCGAAAGGTGTTGGAGTTGTGTTTTTTGGACTGGCTGCAATGTTTGCAGTGGTCACCTCACCACAACTGCTGGATGTAGTGTGGCGTAACGCAAATGTAGTTGTAGTGTAGCGTAGTGGAGTTGTAGCCTTAAGTTGTAGTTGCAATGTTGTGTAATTAGTGTGGTGTAGTTGCGGTTGCAGTTGCCGTTGTGGTGTGGTGAAATTAGTGTAGCGTATTGTAGTGTACTGTAGTGTTGTGTACTGTAGTGTGGTATACTGTAGTGTGGTATACTGTAGTGTGGTGTGGTCTAGTGTAGTGTAAAGTAGTGTAAGGTAGTGTAGCTGTAGTTGTAGTGTGGTGTAATCAGTGTAGTGTGGTGTAGTGTAATTAGTGGTGTAGTGTAGTGTAGTGTCGTGTAGTGTCGTGTCGTGTAGTGTAGCGCAGTGCAATTTAGTGGTAGTTGTTATATTGTAGTTGCAGTTGTAGTTGTAGCTGTAGCGTAATGTAATGTACTTAGTGTATATCGTAATGTAGTGTAGTTGTATTTGTATTTGTAGTTGTAGTGTGCTGCAGTGTAATTGGTGCATTTAGTGGTTGTACTTGCAATTGTAAGTGTAGCTGTGGTAGTAGTTGCTGTTGTACACGTAGTGTAATTGGTGTAGTGTAGCGTAATTAGATGTAGCTAATATAGTGTAGTGTAACTACATAGTGTAGCGTAATGTAGCGTAGTTTATTTGCATTCGTAGTTGTAGCAGTGTAGTGTAGTTGTGGTTGTAGTTGTCTATCTATCTATCTGTCTATCTGCAATCCACAAGCTTGAAAAAGCAGCAATTCTGCGAGACTTTCTCAATTTTTGAACTTGACAAACTCAAAAACGCAGCAATTCGGTGAGACTTCCTTCAAAAACGTGCAGAGCTGACGGCCTCGTACCAATGCGCTTTACGGTTTTTTTCCATTCCATCTGTCGAAAGTGCTGCGCCTGCCACGAAAAGTGATGCCAGGTCATACGAAGTGGTTCACTTGTCACGCAAAATCATTTTAACAAACCTGAAGATCTGATGCTTCAAAATGCAACCCCTCTCAGGAAATCAGCGCCCAGACCTCCTAACAGCTCTGATGAAGATGTCTCTTGTACTGCGCCTGCCACGGAAAATGCATCTTTGCAGATCCTCTTCACATGTCCCACGCCTGCCATCGTGTTTGGAATTGCCACAAAACCCTCACAGTTTGCTCATTTTGACAACGTGCACAATCCCTTGCGCCTGCCAGGCAAAACGAGATCTGAACGTCCAAACTTGGTCCGAACCCGTCAGTTAACACTTTTGACTTCGAAATCTGTTTCGCACCACAACAGTGTGCACTTTTTCGACATGTCAACTTCCAAAAGTGTTCCGAACCTGGCGTGCTTTGCACATTTTGACTTCGACATGTGCTTCGTGCCACAACAGCGCACACTTTTGAACATCTCAACTTTTAAAAGTGGTCCGTACATTGTACATGTGGTCCATCATGTGGTGCTTTTAACATTGTGACTTCGAAATGTGCTTCGTGCGACAACAGCATATATACCCTCTAGCTTTGCAACATCTCAACTTTTAAAAGTGGTCCGAACATGCGGTGTTTTTAACATGTTGACTTCGAAATGTGCTTCCTGCCGCAACAGCGTGCACTTTTTCGACATGTCAACTTCCAAAAATGCTCCGAGAACGGTGTGTTTTGTACATTTTGACGCGCCACAACGGCGTGCACATTTTCATCTCTCATCTGGACAGATGGCTCCGCACCCGCCGCTTTAGCAAGCCTACTTTTCGACCCTCCGGAGCCACCGATCATTTGAAAAACACAGTGATTCGCGACTTTCCTACCTTTTCGCGCACCTGCATCTTCTTTCTTCTGACTCTTTCTCTTCTCTGATCTTCTTTCTTCTTCTCTTCTCTTCTCTGACTCTTCCCACCTCTGCTTTTCATCTGCCCATATTGTCGGAAGTTTGACTAAACTTCCATCGATAAATATATACTGTATATACAGTACACATGTGTCTATATATACATATATGTATATATATATAGACAGACAGAGCTCATTGTTATAGCCTGGCGATCTCCCCCTTCCAGCCTGCAGTTGGCTATAGCTTGCTGGACCCCGACGGGAATCCAGGGAAGCCTTCAGCTGTACGAGGTCCTTGGCGCTGCGGGCAGCTTCAGAGAGTTGAGTCACTTGTGGCCCCATCGTCGAATGGAGGGTCCAAAATGCCAAAGATGGAATATGGTCCATTATATTTTATGGAAACACGACAAAACAAGAAGGAATGACTTGAATGAATCTCGTTGGCAACCTGAAATCACCACTACACCATTCCAGTTCCTTGCGCCAGCTTTCCAAGGCCGACGGAAGAACCCACCCCTAAGTTGTGCCCTAAAGCCGTCGCAAAAAATTGGTGGAGCACAGTACAAGTTCGATCAAACCCTACCTTGCAACTACCTCCCATCTTTAAGAAACACATACATGGGAGCCTGTCTCAGCAAGCTAGCAGCGAAGACTCCGTACTATCAGCAGCTCAACTGTCCTGTTGGCGCTGACCATTCTACCATCTGGCAACACCAAGAGGGGAACCCTGGCACAACGGACACATCTGTGGTCGATGTCCGAGCTTCGAAATGCCCCGCGGCGGGCCCTGCGTTTAAGGTTAAACTGCGGTGCTGACATCCTTCCACCTGGCATGCCCAGTTCTGAGTTGGAAACTCCGCCAACATCTGTGCTATTGAAAACATTCATGACCCCTGCGCAAGTTCCTGACAACAATGGTCCTCAAGATGTTTATGCTTGGTATATAAAACTTTCCAACAACAAGTACCCACAGCCGTATGGACAGACAAATTTTAAACTAGTCCCTATTTGTGCAGCAGCTAATTTGTCTGCAAGACCTCTGAGACGGCCACATTGGGCTTCAAGCCATCCACGCCATGGGATTCAGCCATTCGTGGTGCTGAGTGACTTTGGTCAGTCAGATCAAATTGAACATCAACGGAATCGGATGGGCATGCAATACCCGGAATATCCCCAGATGCTTTCGGAACAAGATGCGATCAGATTGCAAAATCAACCTTGCCTTATTCCAATAGTGACACCTAGCTTCATGCAGAGTCTGAGATCCTCTAAGCAGCTGCAGTAGACGCTCTCCAGCACATGTTCGACATAATCCATCCCTGGCCACACGCACTGCAAAGAGTCTTTTTCCTGGAGGTCCCGGACTGCAGTGGCGTTTGCCAGCTGTCAACTTGATGGGACACCACCATAGAAAAGGCATATTTCCAAAAGAAGGGAAGGTGGTCCCAAGACGCCAAACGGTGACTGGTTACCAGCAACGTTCGGCATGCGTCCGGCATAGTATTTGGAAATGCGATAGGAACGTTCTTCGTGTTCTTCGCTGCAGCTGGTGATCAAATAGACCGCTTTTGCTCTTCCAACCTTGGAGGATGATGGCTGCCGCCGTTGCGGATCTTGCAGTGAGGTGGAGAAGTAATTTGACACAATCTGACACAATGGACACAATGGGCCCTGTCAGTCGGATGTTGTTCCTGCAGTGGCTAAGGCTGAGGAAAGAGCAAATAAAATGGTTTGACACTTTGCAACAGACATGATTATAGGGTTACAAAAGGATCCTGCTGCAATTGGATCCATGGGAATGAATCTAAGGTGCCATGGGCACTTCCACAGTTTCCACTTGAAAATGGATGGCCCGATGTTTCCTTGATTCTTTGAACAATCTTCACAAAATTGCTTTGGGAATTTCGGCAAACATCAAGAAACGTCACAACAATAGCGTTGCCTCAAGATGCTGCGAGGAAATGGAATGCGAGTCGTATGGGTTCAAGTTCACCAAAGGAAAGAAAATTGAACAAACCGCGGCATCAAGAGAACAATGGCTGGCAATCTCTCCACTTAAGCGTCGGGTAAGGACCTCTGGATTTTGATATCAGCGTTTTTTCCTCCTCACCATCCTGCGCCATATTGCCAACCATTGAACTGCGGACCCCCGGCGAGAACCCTAGCAAACACAACAGCTTAGATGGGCGTACATGTGGCATGTGGCGGTCAACATGCCGACCAATATAAATCTTTTCCGACCATTTGTCAGCTCAACACACATGTCAGTAAGTCAATCTGCGCAAAGTCTGTGCCTGCGTCAACGTCAGTGAACGTGTCAGCATGTCAGCACATATGTAAGCACACATGCACGTCTATTTTTCAATCCATACACAATCTACGTTTGAGCATTAGAGCCGATCTACATTCCTCAGCCTACACGAGCAATCGTGATACAGCTCAAACACTGTACAAGCATGCGCTGTATAAGAATTTGAGGGTTCCGATCCAGTCCCAACTATATTTTGGAAGTATATAAGATCTTTACTACTTTGAGAATTTGAGGGACACTCACGTTGAGTGACGAAATGTTGAAGTTGTCATTGTGTACGTCAGCATATACATCTCCAAGTATATAAAGTGTGTCAATACCGGCAAATAGGTGCAATAGCTGTCCAATAAATGTAACATGTATCTCTCCGAATTTCAGTCTGTATGCCACATGCCAATCTGATTGGCAATCTACAGGAAACTGTCACCTGTCTATCGTTTCCTCCTCAAGGCAGCAAAGCAACATCATTTTCATCTGACACAGTTCGCCCTCGACATAGGCACTGAAGCGGCCTGTACGGAGCCCACACAGCCATAGGAAAACATCATGCGCGACATGAACTCTGAGGTTTGGGGCCCGCTTTGATCCAATCCAAAACGTCTTGCAATTTTTGCAGACCACGCCCTTCCAGTCCCGAAGTGTGTGATTCATCCAGCCCCAACTGCCTAGCGTCTGCACCAGCCAACTTTGATCTCGGAGGACCTTACCCATATCCATAGCCGTGGCTGGCCCACGAAGCCGTAGGCAACCCATCAGAAATTCTTCCACCTCTACCTGCCACGATTTCTTGGTTGGTAGTGGCAGTTGTGACACCAAAGGAACAAGACCTTACCTGGTCCAAAGTGACAAGACATTGTCAGACATTGTACAATTAAACCCGCACGAGGCGGGTGGCGGAAGTTTCCAGCAGCAAGGAATGTTATACTATAGGATCCAAAGACAAGGTTCGCCTATAGGAGTTGGGATGGGGCCTCACATCTTCTCAACTCTGTTCTGCGAATTCGTTCTCATCTTGCCTCACCCCTTTTCAACTGTGGCCACCACTTCTCATCTCACCCCGTCACAGCTCGTTTCAGTCCATCTCAGCTCTTCTCGGTTCTTGTCACAACTCTTCTCAACAGCTCAAGTTTTTTCATCTTTTGGCACCTCAGCTCAACTCTTTTCACCTCTTCCCATCTCTTGTCAACTCTTCTCGCCTCTGCCCACCTCTTCTCAACTCATCTCCCCTCTTCGCACCTCATCTGAACTCTTCTCAACCCAGCTCAATTCTACTCACATCTTGCCAACTCCTCTCAACTCTTTTCACCTTTTCCCACCTCTCTCAATTCTTCTCAACGACTCTCACCTCTTGCCACCTGTTCTCAACTCTTCTTGCCTCCTCTCACCTCTGCCCAACTCTTCTACACACAAAAAAAATTTACATACAGCAAACTTTTACACAAAGAAGTTTTTACACACAGAACACACAGAAGCTTTCAGACACACACTAGACAAGAATGGATCTTCGAATAGATCCGTCAGGAACTGAGTCCTGAAACACGCAATTAGTTGTTTATTTGATTGTTTATTGGGGTTCTTGGCTTAGCCCCTTGCCACGTCAGTATAAATCACAGGAGTCATTGATATATAAACCAACAGCATTAAGAGTATAAAGAGCACGTCAGTAAAAATCACAGGAGTCTTTGACATATAAACCAACAGCGTAAAGAATATACAGGTGCAGGTACGTCAGTGCTGGCCGGGCACTGATATCACGTCCACTTGGTGCGGTCTTTGTTAGATGAGGCACACCAAGGCACCCTCATCCCCCTGCGTTATTTAAAAAGGGAGAGGACAGAAGGAAGAAAAAGAAGAGAAAGTTTTACATCTATAAAGATGTTACACACACTAGACAAGAATGGATCATTATAGTGATCCGTCAGGAACTGAGTCCTGTAACGTGCAAAACCAGCCTAGACCATTAGACGTGTTTGCAGGTACACATCCATGGCCAATGGATGCTTCCCTCTCTGATGCATAGCTTCGTTGGACAGAGTAGCATCAGAGAGCTCTGTCCCCCTGCATTGTTATTATTAGAAGGGGAGAGGACGGAAGGAAGAAATAAGCCCAAAGAATATCCCCAACAGCAAGAAAGCAGCGGCTGTAGATCCCAAACAGTAATTCCATATAAGCGTGGTAATTTTTGTTTCATGACCAAACAATGCAGTGCATTTTTGCGCCGTCCTGCCCGCCGGCCTCCCCTACTACTACTACTACTACGACGACTACTACTACTACTACTACTACAACTACAACTACAACTACAACTACAACTACAACTACAACTACAACTTCTACTACTACTACTACTGCTGCTGCTGCTACTACTACTACTACTACTGCTACTCCTACTCCTACTCCTACTCCTACTCCTACTACTACTACTACTACAACTACCACTACAACTACAACTACAACTTTTCAACTACAACTACAACTACAACTTTTACTACTACTACTACTACTACTGCTACTACTACTACTGCTACTACTACTACTAGTACCACTACTACTACTACTACTACTACTACAACAACTACAACTACAACTACAACTACAACTACAACTACAACTACAACTACAACTTCTACTACTACTACTACTACTGCTGCTGCTGCTACTACTACTACTACTACTGCTACTCCTACTCCTACTCCTACTACTACTACTACTACAACTACAACTACAACTACAACTACAACTACAACTACAACTACAACTACAACTTCTACTACTACTACTACTACTACTGCTACTGCTACTGCTACTGCTACTGCTACTGCTACTGCTACTGCTACTGCTACTGCTAGTGCTACTGCTACTGCTACTGCTACTGCTACTGCTACTGCTACTACTGCTACTGCTACTACTACTACTAGCACCACTACTACTACTACTACTACTACTACTACTACTACTACTACTACTACTACTATTGTTACTAGAAGTATTAATAGTACATGCCCCCCCCTTAAGGGGGGGGTGGGCCCCCCTTAACACTAAATATAGTTAAACCGACGTCCCCAAAACATTGATGCTTGTAGAAATAAGATTCTGAGGATTTAGATGGATCTAGACATAGTGCATGTCACCAAGTACATGTCTCTTATACGCATGGCACTCAGGTGCAACTACACTTACGTGATTTTTTACCTCATGTTTTCATGCTATACCGCTTTTTTAGTGGCGCTTCGCTTTTGTTGGTTTTTCAAATGCGTTTGCTTGAAGTGTTCATAAAGTGTTCCATGTGATTTTATTTGAATTGTGTTCTGGCATTGCATCTCGCATACATTCTGACATCTAAACAACAGGCTTAAAGTTTGTCGATATTTTGTGTATTATCGTTCTTTACTTACGTCCTTTTCAAAATTCGGCGCGATTAGCGTAAGGTCCGAAAATTGTGTCCTTCTTGGTTCGTATAGATAGTGTTCAACAAAGCAATAAGATAGATTGTTCACTGCTAGCAATGACCGCGTTCAATAAAAATAAATAGAACCACGATTAGATATTTGTCAGATTCTACGTTTTCATGTCTTGAATTTAGCTATATATGTTTATTTTTGGATAAAAATAATCGCGGATTTGGATTCCTGCATCTGGGTCCCGGGATCTGGGTCCCGGATTCCAGAATCCACCTGTCCATTCTAGGTAGAAATCAAGGTTTGAAAAACTATACAGATTTGTTTCGTCTCTGGACTTTCTTTAGATCAGACCTTATAGATGTAAATAGTTTTGGTATGAGTTGTACATTTCTCGCTTGTCTACACGGATGTATTTTTGAAATATGTTCTTTTTTTGAAAAAATAATTACATGAAGACACAGGTAATCGATGATGGAAAATAAATTCTGCATGTCTTGGTATGGATAGTGATATGTATATTGTCACCAGGTACATGTCTCTTGTACGCATGGCACTCAGGTGCAACTACACTTACGTGATTTTTTACCTCATGTTTTCATGCTATGCCGCTTTTTTTTGAATGGCGCTTCGCTTTTGTCGCTGGTTTTTCAAATGCGTTTGCTTGAAGTGTTCATAAAGTGTTCCATGTGATTTTATTTGAGTTGTGTTCTGGCATTGCATCTCGCATACACTCTGACATCTAAACAACAGGCTTAAAGTTTGTCGATATTTTTGTGTATTATCGTTCTTTACTTACGTCCTTTTCAAAATTCGGCGCGATTTGCGTAAGGTCCGAAAATTGTGTTCTTCTTGGTTCGTATAGATAGTGTTCAACAAAGCAATAAGATAGATTGTTCACTGCTAGCAATGACCGCGTTCAATAAAAAAAATAGAACCACGATTAGATATTTGTCAGATTCTACGTTTTCATGTCTTGAATTTAGCTATATATGTTTATTTTTGGATAAAAATAATCGCGGATTTGGATTCCTGCATCTGGGTCCCGGGATCTGGGTCCCGGATTCCAGAATCCACCTGTCCATTCTAGGTAGAAATCAAGGTTTGAAAAACTATACAGATTTGTTTCGTCTCTGGACTTTCTTTAGATCAGACCTTATAGATGTAAATAGTTTTGGTATGAGTTGTACATTTCTCGCTTGTCTACACGGATGTATTTTTGAAATATGTTCTTTTTTTGAAAAAATAATTACATGAAGACACAGGTAATCGATGATGGAAAATAAATTCTGCATGTCTTGGTATGGATAGTGATATGTATATTGTCACCAGGTACATGTCTCTTGTATGCATGGCACTCAGGTGCAACTACACTTACGTGATTTTTTACCTCATGTTTTCATGCTATGCCGCTTTTTTTTGAATGGCGCTTCGCTTTTGTCGCTGGTTTTTCAAATGCGTTTGCTTGAAGTGTTCTCATAGAGTGTTCCATGTGATTTTATTTGAATTGTGTTCTGGCATTGCATCTCGCAAACATTCTGACATCTAAACAACAGGCTTAAAGTTTGTTGATACTTTGTGTATTATTGTTCTTTACTTACGTCCTTTTGAAGACCCGGTGCGCTTTGCGTAAGGTTTGAAAATTGTATTCTTCTAGGTTTGTTTTCTCCAGTATAAAAGCGTTTAAAAGAGCAAGAAGGCGAGTTATGCACCAGTAGCAATGAATCAGCGTTCGAAAAATATTGCCTTGTTTTTTTCAAATGTTTTTTTTTGCGTTTTGTATTTACATCTGTTTTTGTATTTGCAATCTTTTTCTGCCGATCTGCAACTGACACCGGCTCCTTCACGACCATGACAGGCACAGACTGGGCCATAGACCGCATCCACTTCGGAAGCTCCAGCTGCAAGTCGAAAGCCATACGAAGATAGCAATGCAAACTGCACGTCCTGGTGTGCCCAGACACATAGGTGAAGGTGTCCCTGTCACCCTGCCGCACGGCCTTCATCGGGCCAAGCCACCCTTCTGATTGGAACATTGCTGCCAGCTTCTCCTTCCAGTGCGCGCCGTGAACGTTGGGAAATTACAGTGGGAGCACGCAAACTTTATGCTCCAAATCTTCCAGAAACAACACTGATTCGTGCGATCCCCATCTTGACCGATCTCTTTAGAAGTTGAGGTCCGGTGGAAGAAGGAGGAAGAGAAGGGATAACATATGATCTAACAAATCTCACCTGACAGGTGGGGACTTAGTTGCTCTGTTCGCCTGCGTCAAACAGAGCAACCAATCGTTTCATAGAGCAAATAGCTTGGAAAAGAGTGGTTTTCGGGTGCTAGTTGCTTTGTTCGACTCCGAGTTGCTCTGTTCGCCTCCGTCCAACAGAGCAACCAAACGTTTGGCATATGTCGGTTTTGTCTGGCAGGCCGATATGGGTGATGAGTACGATATTATTATTAATACTACTACTACTACTACTGCTACTGCTACTGCTACTGCTACTGCTACTGCTACTGCTACTGCTACTGCTACTGCTAGTGCTACTGCTACTGCTACTGCTACTGCTACTGCTACTGTGCTACTGCTACTGCTACTGCTACTGCTACTGCTACTACTACTACTACTAATACTACTATACTACTACTACGACGAGGACGACGACGAGGACGACGACGACGACGACGACGACGACGACTACTACTACTACTACTACTACTACTACTACTACTACTACTACTACTAGAAGTATTAAGAGTACGCACGGGTTCCGCGCGTCTACGTTTCGCGCGGTTTCCGCGCGTTATGCGCATCTGCATTTTGCGCGGGTTCCGCGCGTGTTGTTCTGCGCGGGTTCCGCGCGTGTAGCCGCATTCAAATTTCTTTAAGAAATTAATGTTTTACGACGAATATTACTACTTGGGAACCTTTACATAATAACCTTGGGGACCTTGAGATACAACCTTGGGAACCTTGACAACCTTTACTTGGGAAACTTGGGAATCTTGAGGGAACCTTTACAATGCAAATGCAACCTCGGAAAGCTTGAGGAAACCTTGACAATATAACCTTGGAACCCTTGAGAACCTTTTACAATGTAACCTTGGGAACCTTGGGAACCTTGAGGGAACCTTTACAATCCAACCTTGGGAACCTTGGAAAACTTGGGAACCTTCAGGGAACCTTGAAGAAACCTTGAAGGAACCTTGAGGGTACCTTTTGGGAACCTTGAGGGAACCTTGACAATCTAACCTTGGGAATCTTATAGAAACCTTTGCAATGTCACCTTGGGAACCTGGACCACGTTTACTTGGGAACCTTTACATAATAATCTTGGGAACCTTGACAACCTTTACTTGGAAACCTTGGGAACCTTGCAGGGAACCTTGAAGGAACCTTGAGGGAACCTTTTGGGAACCTTTTGGGAACCTTTTGGGCACTTTGAGGGAACCTTGAGGAACCTTGGCAACCTTGGGAACCTTGAGGGAACCTTGGGAACCTTGGGAACCTTGGGAACCTTTACTTGGGAACCTGGGAACCTTTACTTGGGAACCTGTACTTGGGAACCTTTACTTGGGAACCTGTACTGGGAACCTGTACTTGGAACCTGGGAACCTTGGGGGAATCAGTTTTGGAGCTGCTCCGGTCTGCTCCGAAACCTTTACTATGGCTGAAGACCCCAAAGCATTCTGCTGTTGGGGAAAAAGAGAGAAGTTTTACATCTATTCAGATGTTACACACACACACATACACACCCGGCCGGAGCCGGGTCAACCCTGAAAGGCAAAAGGAAGAAAAAAGCGGACACAAACGACGGGCAAAGGGCCAAAACAGCGCAGGGGGGAGGGGAACAGACGGACCTCCAAAACCAACCTACACGGCGAAACGGACCTGACCAAAACAGAGCACACACCTAAACCCCCACGACACATTACGGAGAGGCACGCAGGGAGAATTAGGGACCAAATGGGGAACTAGTTGATGAAAACAAAAGGAACCAAAACAACTGGTTAAAACACAGAACTCAGTTCCTACAAACCTAAGAGTCGTGCGTTATTCCCTTTCTGGGACCGTGGTCAAGTCTTGCCCCAATTGGCATAAACGGCTTTTAAGTGCCAACGAATTAGGTGCACAATATGTTTCACCTCACCAGACAACCATCAAAAGAAAAAAGACCACACCTGAAAGTCGTGTGCCTGCCTGTTGTTCATATCATGTCCTGGTTAATCTGTCACTGTGAAAGCAAGAGCTGCAGTAAAAACACGGTTTCTGGTAGTTTCGAACGGCTTCACTGTGATAGACAGGTATTTCGGCGAGGAACCCTGGGACCAAAGGACCAGCGGGACATTACAGAAATGGTGCAGAACAGTAAGGCCAACTGTTTCACTTTACTTAAACGAATTACCAAATTAAAATGTGTTAATTCGGAAGTCAATTCAGTCGACATTGACCCTAAACAGGGTTGCCTCAATTGGCCCTATGGCACCATGTCGGAGTCACCATAGGAATCACACTAGACAAGAATGGATCATTATAGTGATCCGTCAGGAACTGAGTCCTGTAACGTGCAAAACCAGCCTAGACCATTAGACGTGTTTGCAGGTACACATCCATGGCCAATGGATGCTTCCCTCTCTGATGCATAGCTTCGTTGGACAGAGTAGCATCAGAGAGCTCTGTCCCCCTGCATTATTATTATTAGAAGGGGAGAGGACGGAAGGAAGAAAAAAGAGAGAAGTTTTACATCTATTCAGATGTTACACACACACACACCCGGCCGGAGCCGGGTCAACCCTGAAAGGCAAGAGAAAGAAAAAAGCGGACACAAACGACGGGCAAAAGGCCAAAACAGCGCAGGAGGGGAAGGGGAACGAACGGACCTCCAGAACCAACCTACGCGGCGAAACGGACCTGACCAAAACAGAGCACAAACCCAAACCCCACGACACATTACGGAGAGGCACGAAGGGGGAATTAGGGACCAAATGGGGGACTAGTTAATGGCAAGCGAGAGATCCCAAAACAATTAATTTAAAAACAGGACTCAGCTCCTATACCTAGAGGTCGTGCGTTACTCCCTTGCCGGGACCGTGGTCAAGTCGTGCCGCAATGGCATAAACGGCTTTCAAGTTCCATCGAATTAGGTGCACAATATGTTGGACCTCACCAGAAAACCATCAAAAGAGATAAAAACCACACCTGGAAAGCGTGTGCCTGTTGCCTTCTGTTGGGGTTCTTGGCTTAGCCCCTTGCCACGTCAGTATAAATCACAGGAGTCATTGTTATATAAACCAACAGCAGTAAAAGTATAGAAGCAGCAGTGACAAAAAAGGAGTTTCTGGTTGTTCCGATTGGCTTCACTCAAAGAAGACAACATTTCACCAGGGTTTTCAAGGGACAGCAGGATCGGCGGGACTTTGTTGTCGCATCCTCCACCACGTCCACTGCCTCACACAAGGATACAAGTGAAATCGATTCTATTCAAATGACATCCAGCACGCCTGCTCGATTATGCCCGTCGCATGGGCAAACAGCGGCAAGAGCGGGTGTGTATGGCACTTCGTCTGCAAGATGAAGTTGATGCCGAGGATGGCCTGTCGGTATAGCAGAACATTTTTAGCCTTGCCTTGATGACGTTGGTAAATCTACTTCAAAGGCTACATGGCCTCCAGAATGTCTCCCAAACTCTCTGCACTTGAGTGTGGGCAGTGCAGCATGCTCGAAAGACCCAACTTGTGCCAGACCACTGCGTAAGCCGCCTCAGTTATACGGGCAAATGGATGCTGCCGTGCCGGAGGGGTTGCGCTGAGCCCCGAACGTTTCCAGGGTCTCCGTAGACGAGGCCGCTGGAGCTGGACCAGACTCCCTTCTGCACGGCAGCTGGAGTGTAGGTCCGGCGAACCGCACCCAAATGGGACAATGCCTGGCAGACAGCTCATCCCACATGTTTTTTTTTTCATGAGTTATGTGGCCTTGCGGGTCTTCTTTGGCATGGCCAGCACCATCTGCCACGCTGGCAAGGCGTAGCAGAGGACTTGTCGTAGGTACCAAAATTCCATATCTGCCTGCAAGCTAACAACAGCAAGAACACAAGCTCCCTTTGTGCAGCCAGCCTGCCTCGAGGGTTATGCTGATGTTACCGTCCAGGTGCATCATTGATGCTGGCCGGGCACTGATATCACATCCACTTGGTGCGGTCTTTGTTAGATGAGGCACACCAAGGGACCCTCATCCCCCTGCGTTATTAAAAAGGGAGAGGACAGAAGGAAGAAAAAGAAGAGAAAGTTTTACATCTATAAAGATGTTACACACACACACAAGCTTTGACTCACAAATCTGCAGCCGGAAGTCACAAGAAATCTGCAGCCTGAACTCAGAGGATTGCGCGGATACCTTGGGACTTCACAAGAAACCCGCAGCCTTAACCAAGAGGATTGCAAGGCTGCCCTAGGAATTCACAAGAAATCTGCTGCCTGAACCAAGAGGATTGCACAGATACTCCAGGGATTTACGAGGAATCTGGTTGCCCGTGCCCAAAAGAAATTCACATTCCACCACACGCTTGGGCGTTCGAAACGCACGATCTCCGCAGACGGTTGCTGCGGGCAAAGAAGTTTTGCATTTCACCACACCACATGTTTGCCCATCTGACACGCGCGATCTCCGCAGAGGGTTGCCCAAGGACAAACAAGACCCGCATTTCGCCACACGTTTGGGTGTCCGACACGCCGCAGAGGGTAACGATTCTTAAGCCACCGCCTGGCTGTCCCTGCCACCAAAGAAAATAGAATGAAATAGAAAAACTGGAGAAATCTGATTTTGCAGGAATTCTGCAACCTGCCAAGAGGATTGCGCAGATACTCCACACTTCACACTCCACACTTTCCACTCCACACTCCACACTCCACACTGTGCACTCCACACTCCGCACTTTACACTCCACACTCCACGCTCTACACTTTACACTCCACACTCCACACTCTACACTCCACACTTTACACTCCACACTCTGCACTCCACACCCTGCATAGCCACAAGGAATCTGCAACCTGAACCAGGAAGATTGCGCAGATACCCTAGAAGTCCACAAGAAACTGCAGGTTCATGTCAACTCCACGAGCTTCAAGCACCAGGAATGTGCGGATACTCACAGGAAACGGCGCCACCGTCGCGCAAGCGAGCCTACTTTTCTTCGCACCGTTAACTACGTTTGCCCGAAAAAACAATGTTTCGTGAAATCCTATAACAATGAAAATTCATCGTTGATGTAGCAATTCCAATGCAAAGTTGGCACTCTGCTCTATCTAAACTGCAACCTGAACCAAGAGGATTGCGCGGATACCCCAGGAATTCACGAGGGATCCGCAGCCTGAACCAAGAAGATTGCGCGGATACCCTGGGAATCCAAAAGAAATCTGCAACCTGAACCAAGAGGATTGCGCGGATGCCCTACGAATTCTCGAGAAGTTTGCAACCTGAATCAAGAGGATTGATTGTGCAGATAGCCTAGGAATTCACAAGAAACTGCAGGTTCATGTCAACACCACAGGAACGCACGGATACTCACAGGAAACGGCGCGCAACCGTCGCGCAAGCGAACCTATACTTTTCTCCGCACCGTGACGTACGCGTGCTCAATCAGCTCACTCTTCTGATGTGAGCCGGAGCGCTCAGCGTCATAATATGTTCGCAACAATGGAAGTCTAGTTGCTATGGCAGGAGACGGCTTTGATGCCTCCACCATCGCAGCAGGGTGAAGACTGAGGACTCAGGAGAACGGAAGCACCTACAACGCAGTATCAAGCCACAACGCGTCTGCGGCAGAGAAAGTCTATGAGAAAAAGGTAAGCGAAGCATCAAGTGAAAATAAACCACGGAAATTGCATAGGCATTCGAGGTTTACCGGACACGCACTAACCGCTAAAAAATCCGCTCCTACATTTGTCCACTAGAGAAAAACGGCCGTTGCAGCGCGGCACCCCCCGAGGAACCAAAGAAGGACCACGTCTGGCAGCATCCCGGGTGTTGCAACTCATGGTGAGCCAAAATTCTGCAGATAGCAGGAACAGCTCTAGTTTGAGCATGAAAGGTACAGAACCAGTTTTGCAAATGGCCAAGCGCAAACACTTCAGAAAGAACTCAAAAGTTGACATCGCATGTAATGCTACCAGGGACTTCCAAGAACATGCCAACTGGACTTAATCTTTTGAACTACTTCTCTTCAGGAACATGCCAAGTGGACTTAATGATTTCTTGAGCTACTGCTCTACTTCAGGAACATGCCAGCTGGACTTAATGATCTCTTGAGCTACGTCTCTAATTCGATCTCTTGAGCTACTTCTCTGCTTCAGGAACATGCCAACTGGACACTCTACTTCAGGAACATGCCAACTGGACAGAATGAACTTTGGGCTACTAATGATTGTAAAACCATTCGTAACTGTAAAACCATTCGTAACTCGGAGTTTCTCTACAAAACTTCCTTTCATCAGTTTTATCAATTAAATTTTCATGTTTGCGACGGCCTCGCCCCCGCCATCCGCATCCAATAGGCGGAAGAAGGTCCATGCATCCCAAATGTCGATGCCCAGCGATTGGAAGTATTCATGCACCTGGATGAGCGAGAAGGTGCAGCAGAAAAAAATGTTTTACGGTTTGAAACAAGTCCAAAAAAAGTTCAGCCGAGGCGACAAAAAATGATCCTGGCCGTCCCAACATACTTGAAAAGGTTTTAGCACCGACCCATTGAAAGTCCCCGTCGCTTAGCTACTCGTCATGAAACAGCATGAAGAAACCACCGCCCAAAATGAACAAGTCAACAGTCAACACGTTTCAAACGTCCGAGCCCAATCAAGCCACTGCTTCGGAATTGATCGACTCCTCCAACATCTGAAATGTAATGAATCCATTGTCAGCGGCCCCTAGACGCAAAAACAAGTTGCGCACCTGCAGGACATCACATCGAAAAGGCAGCGTCGCTTCGCAAAACACATCACCGAAAGATACAACGCATAGCGCTGAAACTGAAAGTGTGGTCGTTATAGCCGTTTTGCTTGCAATGTTCTATATTGTTCTTCTGTATGCCAGCGGGTGTGTGTATGTGGTTGGGTCGCTGTGCGCTCCACACCCCGTGCCTTTTCAAGGTGGCTCTCCTTGTTCGCAAGAATCGATTGGACAACTGTGAACTGGTCGTTCTGAGCGGACTCGATAGCTGACTCACAGAAAACTGCCGTGATAACCTCAGTGCGTGAACTTTGTGATGTGAGCTGCCCCCAAGTAGACAGCGCACAGGCGAAGGGCAGCCGCAGCAGCAGCAGCAGCAGCAGCCCACGCAAACACACCAAGGAAGCAAAAGGCCCAACAGAAGCCCAAAACCTCAACCAACCCCAAACAAAAGAAAATCCGAACAAAAAGCACCGGCCAGCCCGAAAGAGGCGCAGATGCCGCACCACCAAAGGGCCAGGCAAAATGAAGCACGAACGAAGGCACCGCGCTCCACAGCGCAAGAGAAAAAGAGCTGGTCAACAACAAGGACAACAACAACAACAACAGCAACAGCAACCGCAACCGCAACCGCAACCGCAACCGCAACCACAACCACAACCACAACCACAACAACAGCCATCACAACCACAACCAAACTACCTACCAGCCAACCACCCAACCAACCAAAAAAGAAACAACAAAAAAACAAACCCCAACCGACCAACCAACCAGCCAGCCAACCAACCAACCAACGAACAAACAAACAGACAAACAAACAACATCCATAAAAACAAACAACAACCAACAAATAACAAACACCAAATACAAAACAGCAAACACAAAACAGAAAACAGGAAACAGCAAACGAAAAACGCAAAACATAAACCAGCAAACAAAAAACAACAGACAACAAACAACAAACAACAAACAACAAACAACATTCACCACCACCACCACCACCACCACAACCGCCACCACAACCGCCACCGCCGCCGCCGCCGCCACCAAAACCAACAACAACAACAACAACAACAAACAACCAACAACCAACAACCAACAACCAACAACCAACAACCAACAACCAACAACCAACAACATTAACTACTACCACTACTACTACTACTACTACTACTACTACTACTACTACTACTACTACTACTACTACAACGACAACAACAACAACAAACAACAAACAAACAACAACAAACAACAAACAACAAACGACAAACGACAAACAACAAACAACAAACAACAAACAACAACAACAAACAACAAACAACAAACAACAACAACAAACACAACAACCACAACAACAACAACAACAACGACAACGACACCGAAACCCACACCGAAAGCAACAGCAACAGCAACAGCAACAGCAACAACAACAACAACATAACAACAACATAACAACAACTTAACAACAACAACAACAACAACCACATACCCCAAAACCACAACCGCAACCACAACCACAACCACAACCACCACAACCACCACCACAACCACAGCCTCAACCACCACCACAACGACAACCACCACAACAACCACAACAACCACAACAACCACAACAGCAACAACAGCAACAACAGCAACAACAACAACAACCACAACAACAACCACAACAACCACAACAACCACAACAACCACAACAACAACAACAACAACCACAACAACAACCACAACAACCACAACAACCACAACAACCACAACAACCACAACAACCACACCACAACAACAACAACAACCACACACAACCACAACCACCACACCACAACAACCACAACAACCACAACAACCACAACAACCACAACAACCACAACAACCACAACAACCACAACAACCACAACAACCACAGCAACCACAGCAACCTACAACGACAACCGACAACGACAAAAACAACGACGACGACGACGACAACAACAACAACAACAACAACCAACAACAACACCACCACCACAACCACAACCACAACAACCACAACCACAACAACCAACAACAAGCACAACTACAACAACCCGGCGACGGCGGCGGCAGCAGCAGCAGCAGCCACACAGGAAGGAACTGGAAAATTCGATCGCAATCAAATCAAATCCTGCGCGTTAAAATTTAAACAGATTCTTTTGGCCCAGGGTCACACAGCCCCACCATGCTCCACTGTTCACCCACGAAGTTGGTTCATTAGCAATCTAACATACAACCAAAGAGAGCAAACACAACTAAGGCCAGCTCGTTGAGGACCGCGAAGTAAGTAAAACTGACCTCGGCGCAAGAAGAAGAAGAAGCAGAAGAAGAAGAAGACTTTAAGTCAGTTGATGATGAGGATAATGATGATGATGATGGTGATGATGATGATAATGATGATGTCATGAGGATGACCGCCTTGAAAAGGATGGATGCCCACTCGTAACACCACCCATGAAGTGGCAAACCAAAGGTGGAGCGCTCGGAATGTGAAATTTGGCAAAGCAACATGCAGTGCATCAGCGATGACGCACGCTGCTTTCTCCATTCATGAGTTACAATGCACATTCAATGGAACTGGCAGGGAAGTCTCACACACAACATAACTTTCAGCAGAAGTTGAGAAAGAAAGGTTGGCAGTCAAAATCAAAGTCAAGATTCTTGGTTGGGGGGTTATATCTAAGGAGAAAGGTGCTTGCGCGCCGAGATCTGCCAGGCAAGGGCTGCATCATCATTTGAAGAAAGAGAGGGCCGACCAAGTCGATTTTGCAAAGGGCACGAAGGTTTTGCAGGCCTCAAAGTGGCATTGGGAATTGAAGGATGTTCCCAAAACTCATGGTCAAGAGAAGAAAGGATGCCACATGAAGGGCTTTTTTTTGAGCAACATCTTTCCGGCAAAGGACACGTAGCCACCCGACAAAAAAATCCGTGAGTGGAGTGAGAGGTGAGAGGCCATTTCGCCGGCAGCCTCATGCCGGTGCTCATGGTAAAATTAACTGACCTCGGCGCTGATGATGATAACGGTGCTGATGATGATGATGATGATGGTGATGGCGGTGATGATGATGATGATGATGGCTGATGGCTGATGGCTGATGGCTGATGGCTGATGGCTGATGGTTGGTCACTGGTTTTCTGGTTTTCTGGTGATTGGTGATGAACAATGATACTTGGTACTGAATGATGGTGAATGATGACAATGACGATGAAGAAGATGATCAGGATGAAGAAGAAAAATGAAAATAAGAGGAGGAAGGAGATGATAATGGCGATGATGACGATGATGACGATGATGACGATGAGGATGACAAGAACGATGGCCGATGAACTAAAGAAACATCAACGATGAATCATGAATCAACATCGAAGAACGATGAATGATGAAGAATGAGGATGAGGATGAGGGCACAAATGAGATGAGGACGATGACGATGACGATGACGATGACGATGATGGTGATGATGATGATGATGACGACGAATGATGAATGATGAATGATTAATGATGAATGATGAATGATGCATGATGCTGATGATGATGATGATGATAGTGATGATGATGATGACGACGATGATGGTGATGATGGTGTTGATGATGATGATGATGATGATGGTGATGATGATGGTGATGATGATGATGATGATGATGACGATGACGATGGTGATGGTGATGATGATGATGATGATGATGACGAGAACGACGACGACGACGACGACGACGACGACGATGATGACGAGGAGGAGGAGGAGGAGGAGGATGATGATGGTGGTCTTGAAGGTTGGTGCCCGCTAGTAACACCACCTACATTGGGCGGGATTCCAACAATGGAGTGGCGGGCATATACAGTATCAAACCAAAGTTCAACCCAAAAGGTTTTTCCACATATTGCAGGCTGAAGGCACTGCGTCAAACGCACATGCAAAGAAATGGTCAAGGAACCGTCTGCAAACGCTCAGACTTTTGCATAGGGCCTGTGTCAAGACCCTCGGCTAGGGTGCTCATACCTTTGGTTCCACTGCGCTTATGCGCCGATGTTTGCCATTCAAGTGCGATGTGGCCGTTGGAGTTTGAAGATGACCGGCCAAGTTAGCTTTGCACGGGACTTTGGTGGTCATGTAGCGGCATCAAGGATTTTTGCAATCCAAAATTTCATGGTCCGATGTGGAAAGGATGTGGCGAAAGCATGGCTAGAGGTGAGGCCATTTGGCTGGCCACTTCACATCAGTTTTCCTTTTCCAGGATATCATGGCAAGCTTGATGGTCAGTTCGTTTGGCAGCTTTTAAGTTCAACGGAACCCACCTCGGCGCCACGGCGCCTTGATTTGGATGAAGGCCACACACACATGTAGCTTCCTTCAAAATGGAGAAGACCCGTTGCGTTGGGTTTGCAACCAGCGCCAGTAGGTGAGAGCCCGTTGGCACTTCCACCCCGGCCGAAGCTCGGGGTTCTAGCCGGCCAAATTGTTAAGCAAGGACGGAGCGGATTCAAACAGTGGGTGATATACACAAGCATCAAAGTATTGAAAACTTTCGCGGGAAGAAGTCGAAAATGAAGCAGTAATCACACAGTCAGTGCTGGTGGTTGAAATCAAAGCAATACAGCTCAAGCATGTTTAGGGCCTCGGTGCGATAGGAGAGAAACAAACATCAAGGCAACCTGTTCGACAGGAGCAGCACCATGCAATAGAAGAATTGAGACACTTTTTGGCTCACAACATGTTTACCCAGCAAGGCTGAATGAGTGCAAGTGCGCTTTGTGCTCCTGTGCCGCAAGTCGCATTGGAATGGCTACGTTCCTTTCTCGTCTTGCGGTCACATCACGTTCCTGGACTGAAAATATCCTGCTGCTCTTTGCGCCTGAGTTCTATGGCACCACATCCCGTCTCATCCGCGCAAGGTGCTGGCACAACAAAGACAGCAGCGACAGCAGCTTACACAGTCGCAGCTGCAGAAGGGTGCCCCCTCAACCCCGCTATTAAAACTGCACAACAACTGAAGCCGCTATTCATATCAGCTTTCCCAGCTGGGGGGTTCCCGCGGTCCATTTTATGTCTTGTCGATGTCATCCAACCCTGTGTCTTCTTGGAACCAATTGAAAATATGAAACAAAGCCACTTAATGCCACTTACACAGGGCGGATTGAGTCCTGTCAAGCCGAGGGGAGCTGCTTGACTGCTTTAGTTGACAATGCAAAGCTTGCTAGCTCCTGTGTCCCACACCATTACAGTACTTCTGTAGCGGCACATGATGCTCAGGGACAAGAACATGAAAACCAGAAGCAAACACTTGGCATCTCTTGGCGGACGAGACACAAAGAAAAGAAAGCATAGCATCCAAAGTGGTGATATCTTCATCAGCGGAAACATGGCATTTTCCCAGCTTACTCCATTTGAGATGCTCATGAAGAGTGTGACCATGGTTGTCGGCAAGGACTCGAAGTAGCGGTCATATGCAGAGACCTCTTCTTCAGAAAGGCTGAACCCCATCTCTGCACGGTGGTCATGCACTGCTTGGACGAAAAGGACCTGGGCCATTGCAGAGTTGGGCGCAATTTTCTGCAGGCCTGGCTCCATTGAGCAGACTTCCAAATTGAAACTGCTGAACCTGGGTCCTAAGTCTGGGTTTGACATGTTTTTCCCGACAGCTCCTGCGAAGGGTTTTTTTCCCACAGAACTGCTACCAAATTCAACTTTTCACTTCAAGTGCATCACGTCTCCTGCATCCTTTACATCACCAACATTATCTAATTATCTACATCAACTTCATCTACATCACATACATCATCTACATGCATCTACATCAACGTCATCTGCAGGTGCTCAACGTCTACATATCTCCTACAAAACTTTTACAATGTCATGTGCAAAAGTGTTCTTACACAGGAGTTCTTGCACAGGAGTTGCCACACAGGAGGTCTTACACAGGAGTTCTTGCACAGGAGTTGTTACACAGGAGTTCTTACACAGGAGTTCTTACACAGGAGTTGTTACACAGGAGTTCTTACAAAGGAGTTCTTACACACAAGTTGTTACGCAGCGGTTCTTACACTTCTAGGTGATCTACCTGTACCTAAAAACTCCTACAAAACTCCTAATTCTCAAGTTCTTCTAAATTCTCCCTTTTTAATGAGGCGGCCGGGGCAGCCAAAAACCGGTTTGCGAAGCGCGACCCTCTGCGGAGGAGATCGAGCGTGTCGGACGCACAAATTCGTGATGAAATGCGAATTTGAAGTCGTTCTGTGTGCAAAAGCTCCTCTGTGTAAAAGCTTCTGCGTTCGTTTGTTTGTTTCCCTGCGCTCAGAAGCGTCTGAGGCCTGTGATTCAGGCGGCGGGCTGAAACATGCCATGCAGATACATGAAACGGAAAGATGAACTGAAGACCATACTACCTTCGAGAATAGCCACAGGCGCATCAGGCTCCGGTGGGGCCAAAGCAGCAGAGGAAATCAAGTCCACTCGGACATCATCAAACAAATGTAAGAACAAATGCAAAGTAGCAGACCAGCTTGATCCATTACCTGCAAATTGGGTCAAAGTCTCAGAACGCATCAGAGCAGCGTACAAACGTGTCCTCTTGAACACTGCGTGTAAAAAGCTTCTCTTTGCAAAAGCGTCGTGTAAAGACTTCTCTGTGTAAAAGCTTCTGTGTATAGAAGCGTCTGCGTGTAACAGTTTCAGCGCGTAAAAGCTTCCATGTGTAAACGTGTCTGTGTGTGAAAGCTTCTGTGGGTAAAAGCTTCTGTGTGTAGACGCCTCTGTGTGCAAAGACTACTCTGTGTGCAAAGACTCCTCTGCGTCAAGGCTCCTCTGAGCAAATGCCTCTGTATGTAAGGGGCCCTGTGTGTAAAAGCTTCTGTGTGTAAAAGCTTCTCTTTGCAAAAGCACCTGCGTGAAAATCTCCTCTGTGTAATGACTTCTATGTATAAAAGTTTCTGTGTGTGAACGCCTCTGTGTGAAAAAGTTTCTGTGTAAAAGCGCCTGTGTGCAACAGCTTCAGCGGGTAAAAGCTTCCGTGTGTAATCGTGTCTGTGCGTAAAAGCTTCTGTGGGTAAAAGCTTCTGTGTGTAACTGTGTGCAAAGACTCCTCTGTGTCAAGGCTCCTCTGAGTCATTGCCTCTGTATGTAAGGGGCCCTCTGTGTGAAAGCTTCTGTGTATAAAGGCTTCTGCGTGTAAAAGTTCCTGTGTGCAAAAGCTTCTCCGTGTAAAAGCTTCTGTGCGTAAGAGCTCCTCTGTGTAAAAGCGTCTGTGTGAAAAGACTTCCCTGTGTGAAGATTCCTCTGTGTAAAAGCTTCTGTGTGTAAATGTCCCTGTGTGTAAGAGCTTCCGTGTGTGAACGCCTCTGCGTGTAAAAGCTCCTCTGTGTAGACGCTCCTCTGTGCAAACGCTCTTCTGAGAAAAAAAACGTCTCTGCAAAAGGGGCCCTCTGTGTAAAAGCTTCTGCGTGTAAAAGCTCCTCTGTGTAAACGCGTCTCTGTGTGTAAAAGCTTCTCTGTGGGTAAAAGCTTCTGTGTGTAAAAGCCTTTGTGGGTAAAAGCTTCTGTGTGTAAACGCCTCTGTGTGTAAAAGCTTCTGTGCGTAAACGAAACCTGTTGTGAGTAAGCGCGTCTGTGTGAAAAAGCTTCTCTGTGCAAAAGCTTCGCTGTGGGAAATCGTCCGTGTGTCACGACTTCTCTGTGTAAAGAATTCTCAGTGCAAAAGCTTCTGTATGTAAACGCCTCTGCGCGTGAAAGCTTCTGCGTGTAAAACCTTTTGCGCGTGCACGCGTCTGTGTGTAAAAGCTTCTGTGTAAAAACACCCGTGTGTAAAAGCTTCTGAGCTTCTGTGTGTAAAATCTCCTCTGTGTAAAAGCTTCCCTGTGCAAAAGCTTCTTTGCGGAAAACCGTCTGTGTGGAAAGACTTCTCTGTGTAAAGACTTCCCTGTGTAAAGACTCCTCTGTGTAAAAGCTTCTGTGTGTGAACGCTTCTGTGTGTAAAAGCTCCTCTGTGCAAATGCCTGTGTACAAGCTCCTCCTCTGTGTAAAGACTTTCTCTATGTAAAAGCTTCTGCGTGTAAAGGCGTCTGTGTGTCTGTGTAAAAATTCCTCTGTGCAAAGACTTTCTCTGCGTAAAAGCTTCTGTGTGCGTGTGTGTGGACGCTTCTATGTTTAAAAGCTCCTCTGCGTAAACGCGTCGTGTGTAAAAGCTCCTCCGTGTAAAGACTTCTCTGTGAGAAACGCTTCTTGTGTGCAAAGACGTATCTGTGTCAAAGCTCCTCTGTCCAAAAGCTCCTCTGTGTAAAGGCTCCTCTGTGCAAAAGCTCCTCTGTGTAAAGGCTCCTCTGTGCAAAAGCTTCTCTGTGTAAGAGTGTCTTTGTGTAAAGGCTCCCTGTGCAAAGACTCCTCTGTGTAAAAATGTCTCTGCGTAAAAGCTTCTGCATATAAAAGCTCCTCTGTGCAAAAGCTTCTGTGTAATTCCCTTGCGTCATCGCAGTCATCTCAATAGACGCCATGGGGCACACAGATCTATACATACGATATACTAACTCACTCGATATACATTCATTAGGTGAAATTATGCATCCGCAACCTCACTCACCATTCATCACTCATCATCTTTCATCATCATTCATCATCATTCATCTTCATATGTTCTCCTCCATCCTCTTTTGATCTACTCCCTTCTGCTTTTCTTTCGGGCCACACTTTCGTCTAATAATCTTGTATATGGCCATATTGAAGCATATTGGGGATGCGGGTATGTGCCAAGCCCAAGGATACCATACAGTGAGCCCCAATGGGTAAAAATAATGGGACTGACTACAGGAAGTTCTATCAATCCAAGCACCGCAAAGACGTAGACGATCAGGAGCAGCCTCGAGCCGCATCCGTGCCGAATTTGGCGACGCAACCAATGCCATTTTGAATCACAGGACGCAATGAAGATGAAGAGACAAACTTCTAGGAGAAGAAAGTCACACGTGGAAACTCTGGGCGTTGAAAATTTACTCACAAATCCCAGGTCAGTCTCTTTACAATAGCTAACTGAACAAACCAGCATGCATCTACCATGGCTCTAATGTTTGAATCTAAGCAGCTAGTGTCTGTGAAGGTCAATTGGCGGCTGGGAGACAGAGCAATGGCATATTTATACAGCTCTATAGATCAGTTGTATAGCATATGTGGGCGGTTTGGAGGTATGTCAAAACAGATTGTGCGCAATGAGAGTAGCTGTTTGTATACAGGAGCTTTCACAACCAAGTCAAGAAGTCAGAACCAACATATATACACCAAACAGCATAAATTTCCCTTGCACCATTTGAGGTGCGCAGCCGCCCAACCCCCTTCATTGCCCAGTGGCAATATGAGTGCCCAGAACAAGGATTTCAGTGTGTGCAGAATGGAAGTAATCAACATGCGCAGTGCCAGCACAAAGCGAAAAATCCGCATCAGCCTGACTGTCTTCACCGATCGAGTCAAACCTCAGCGATTTCACTGTCAAAATATGTCAGAACTGCGTTCCAGGAGGGGGAAAATGGATTCCAGCGAACGCTACGGTAAGGTCTGTCAATCCCAAGCCAAGGAAATTACACCGGCGGCAAGAGACCCTAAACAGTGTCGGGGGGGTGGTAGAATGTGACAGATACCAGCAACAGTAGATATGGAACAGTATACAACAAATCAGATTTGACATCATCGCAGCTGCAGCAGCAGGAACTTGTCTTGGCACGGAAAGCAACGCTATGTCTACTCAGCAGGGCCCCCTACCAGAACCTCATGCCAGGACATCTAAGAGAATTTCAAAAGATCGTTAAAGAAGGACCTTCTGCATAAAGGATCTTATAGAAGATTTTCATACAAAAACTTCCTACGAACATCCCAGAAGAATTCATACAAGCACCAGTGCAGAGCACCAGGAAGATCTTAGCGCAAGGACCTCTTGCGGGGGATTTCAACAGGATCTCCACACGATCTTCTCACAAGGACCTGTACAAGATCATGCAAGGACCCCTTAGAAAATTTCACCAGGATCTCTACAAGAGCTTCTCACAAGGACCTGTACAAGATCATGCTAAGGCCTCTGACAGCATTTCACTACGATCCCATAAATTCTCACAAGGACCTTTACAAGAGCATGCACTGCAAGGATCTCTTAAAGATCTTAAAGGATTTCACTAGTATCCCTACAAGATTCTCTCACATATTGCAAAAGACTTGGGCCAAGATCTTCACGCCAGAACCCCTAAGGGAATCCCACAATGTCGTCATAGAAGGACCTGCTGCTGCTGGAGAGGATCTTGCAAGATCTTGGGACAAGAACCTCCCAAGAGCAACCCAGAAGGGCTTTCATGGAAGCGCCTCTAAGACATGGCATTTGCAAGGTCTTCATTCAAGGACCTCTTATAGAAAGGATCTTGCCAGGATCTCCACAAGATCTTCTGACAAGGACCTGTACAAGATCATGCTAGGACCTCTTAGAGAGGACTTCGCCAGGATCTCCACAAGATCTTCTCGCACGGACCTGTGCAAGATCATGCAAGGACTCTTCAAGGATGTCAACAGGATCTTCGCAAGATCTTCTCATAAGGACCTGCTCAAAGTTCATGCAAGGACCCCTGACAGAAGACCTTGGTCAAGAGCTTCATCTATTATGGACCTCTAAGGCTGCACCGTGAAACTCTTGCAACATTGTCATAGAAGGACCTTCCAAAGAACTGCAACATCGTCATAGAAGGACCTTCCACAGAACTCATAATATCTTTTTGCCAAGATCTCAGAGAATATGCTAAAATCAGCACCGCGCGACAACGAGAGCGATCCGACACGAACAAAGTACCAAGAGGGTTGCGCCAGCGACATGAAAATTCGCACCGCACCACAGCGAGAGCAATCCGACACGCCGAGAGTCACAAGATGGTTGCGCGAGCGACATCCAAATTGCACCGCGCCACAACAAGAGCAATCCGACACGCCCAAAGTCACGAGAGGGTTGCGAGAGCACATGCTAGATGTTCACAAAACATTGATCGCACCACGAAAAATTAACATTGAACATGTCGAAGACGATGTTCTACCGAAGTCTCAGGCACTTTTTCTCGAGGTCTACAAAGTATTGGGCCTGCCACGAAAAATGAGCCCGGGGCATCACGGAATCATCAGCATGTCCAAAACCAGAATGACGACAGCTTCCACAAAACGTGATGTTCGACCCTTTCAAACCGTCGCCCAAATTCACGAAAGACTGCGCCTGCCAAAATTGCCTCCAAAAGCACCTCCCATCTCGACCCGCGCCTGCCAATGCTTTGACAACGTCCAAAAAGCGCCACACCTGCCACGAGGATGAGAAAGTGTCCGATGTCCCGCACCTGTCAGGCCAAACAACGTTCCAGACCTCAAAGTGTCCCAGATGTTCCACCCCTGCCACACGAAATGGACATAGCTTAAAAAAACTAGCAGGCGCCATCAGACGAGCCAAAACCTAGCCCCCCCCATCTTGCGCGAGCCTGCGCAGTCGAAATGCACATGGACATCTCACAAGGGAACTCTTATGCGAGCATTTACAACAAAAATGCTGCGGCCCAGATGGAGCTAATGATCTAACCTCGGCCTGCTATCGTAAGAACCCCTCAGTCTGGACTTAAGGGAAAAAATGATCCTCTTAAGCCCTGAGATAAATACAAAGCTTTATCACGCAAATGGTGCTGCCAAAAAAAACTGTTCACTTCACACCATCTGAAGCCAAGAAACGGATGATGCGGAAAGCTTTCAGGCCACTGACGCCACTGATGCTAGCACCATCACTGCTATTGGCTGAGGCATCCATGATAAATAAACCGACTTCCCACAGAGATGATAAGACAATAAAGGAATCCAAAAGACTCCAAGCCCAGTCTTCCCTGCAGAAGAATGTTCGACAGCCAAGGCCCCAGATTCTGAGGACAAGTTCGATGGTAAAGAGCAGGGTGTAGATGGCACCAATGATGCGAAATACAAGTTGGCCAGCCTAGTTGTTCGGAGCTCTTGTCAAAAACACAGCCAGCCTTTGCAAAATGATTTGTATTGGGGATCATGAAAGAACTGGCCCCTAATCCTCACAGCTGCAAGCAGAATCTCCAAACAAAACGAAAATTACTTTACTTCGAGTGATCCCCACCATGGCATTTCAAGGCATATATTCTGACATATATTTTGACATACACTCTGACATTTTACCTAACATTCTATCTGGCATCTATTCTGACATTCTATCTGCCATTGTTTCTGGCATTCTATCTGGCATCTATTCTGGCATTCTATCTGGCACCCATTCTGGCAGTCTAATTGTCTGGCATTCTATCTGACACTAATTCTGACATTCTATCTGGCATTCTGTCTGACATTCTCTTCACTTGGGGAAGTGGACAAGAAGGGGACAAGAGAGAAGTTGAGGGAAGGGGACGAGTTCCGCGCTCTAGTACAAACCCTCAGCGACAAGTCCCATTGCAAGACTCGCAGCATTGTTTTATCTGAGACGAAGTCTTTTGTGCGACAGATGCCCAGCTAACTCCCCAATTCATTTCATGCCACCTGGCGCCGGTTGTTGGCGCATGTTTGATCAGACAAATCGAATCATGTAAAAACATGTCAAAGACAGATGTTTGTGCAAAAACAGGTCGCAACAGAAGTGGACTTCACAGCTCTTGGCGCAATGAAAAGCAAGCTTGCCCTGGAAGATGCATGCTGAGGCCGGAGACTTCACAGCAAGATGAAGGAAGTAAGCCTGGCAGGAGTCATGTGATACACAGCACCAAACCTGCAAAGCACCCTGCACTGTTGAGTGCCTGCTGATGTTGGGATATATCCATGTAGGTGCTCTCTCTCTCTCTCTCTACGTCCAGCAAAACATCAAGAGACCCTTCTGTCAACTCTTCATCAACTGCCCTTCTGCCTCTGTATCGCAATCACGCCGCAAGGTCCGCTGGATAGTCACACTTAATAATGTGATCTTCAAATCTTGCGGAATGATCTCACATGCTTGCTGCATCCTCTGTCCTCTATCAGTATCTTTGGGTTGAAACAGTTGCCAAGCAACATCGGCAAGAAAGCAGCCTGATATATGCCATATCTTATGACATTCTGTCTGGCATACGCATCTGGCATATGAACACTGCGATCTAGCTCTTGCAGTTGAGGTCCGGCAGGAAACACTCTGATCCAGAGGTTGCTCTTCGGGTCCGGAAGGAACACATTGCTCCAGTTCGGGTTCAGCGGGAAACACTGCGATCTAGCGCTTGCAGCGGAGGTCCGGCGGGGAACACTCTGATGCTGTTCGAGTCCGGCGGGGAACACTGATTGCAGTTGAGGTCCGGCGGAGGAGCAGGCGGAGGAGGAGGAGGACGACGACGACGACGAGGCGGGCCAGCTGACATAAAATCTATAACAACCCTCACCTCACCTGGCAGGTGAGGGAAAAACATAAAATGGAAAAGTCGCAGGAGCAGGAGCATCCGAGACATTGGTCATAGAATATTGTACCTCCATCCCGATGTAGACAGAATTCGTGAGAACCACCTGAGAATGCTGAACCCTCAAACATGTAACCACATGGAAGTCAAGGTCAAATCTTTCCTTTTCACGTGGACTCCCCGATGCTTTGCCATGATATCTGTAGCACGCTGGTGGTTTTCACAGAGGAATTTTCTGATTTTCCAACAGAATGGTTGCTCGGTCTGAAAAGGTGTCTTCAGCAGAGTTTCCCAAAAAAGATATGGGCATGGCATGTTTTTCTTTAGCTGTGCTGGGCTGACACAAGTTCATCAATCCCGGCCGGCAAATTGCGCCGAGATGTCAAGCGCCAATGGGTTCAGAATTCCGTAGGTTGGGCTTACAGCATCTGGCTATCCATCTCGGATTTATATTCTTCGTGGCAAAAAGCTTTGGATTCCAGTCCAGCAATCTGTCCAAGCCTTGCTTCTCTGGGCAGTCCCAGCTTTCCTGCCTTTCAAGGCTCTGGTTCTGTGGCCAAGCAAGACTTGTCAAGTCCTTTTGAAAGGCTTGGTCTTTGGGTTTGTTGGTCATTACGGCTCCATTCCAATCTCAATATGACCGAGGTAGGGCCCCAAGGCAATAGAATCGTTTCGGACCGCCGAAAAAAGGATAATGCCATATCAGTAGTACCGCACAAGGCGGTGGCGGAAGTTTCAAAGATAGGAAACCTATAGGGAGGGTTGGTTGTTGTGACGCGTGGATGGCAGAGCGAACCCGCAGGTGGTTGGAGTGACGCGTTTTGGAGTGATTGCAGTGGTCACCTCACCCGCAACCGCTGGATGTACTGTGGTGTAGCGCAGTGTAGCGTATTTGTCGTTGTAGTGTACGTAGTGTAGTTGTAGTTGTAGTAGTTGTTGTTATAGCTGTTGCTGTTGCTGTTGCTGTTGCTGTTGTTGTTGTTGTGGTTGAGGTTGAGGTTGAGGTTGAGGTTGTGGTGGTGGTGTGGTGTTGTGTTGTGTTGTCTTGTCTTGTGTTGTCCTGTGTGGGCTGTGTTGTGCTGTGCTGTGCTGTGTTGCCTTGCGCTGCGCTGCGTTGCGCTGTGTTGTGCTGTGCTGTGCTGTGTGTGCTGTGCTTGCGCTGCGCTGCGCTGCGCTGTGTTGTGCTGTGCTGTGCTGTAGTGTAGCGTAGCGTAGTGCAGTGTAATGTAATGTAAGAGCAGTTGGAGCTGTGGTTGTAGTGTAAGCAGTGTAGTGTAGTGAAGTTGTAGTTGTAGCTGTAGTTGCAGTAGTTGCTGTAGCTGTTGTAGCTGTTGTCGTTGCAGTTGCAGTTGTGGTAGTGTAGTGGTAGTGTAGTGGTAGTGTAGTGGTAGTGTAGTGGTAGTGTAGCATAGTGCAACGTAGCATACATAGTGGTAGTGGCAGTGACAGTGGCAGGGGCCGTGGTAGCTGTAGTTGTATATAGCTGTAGTATGTTGTAGTTGTCGTGGTAGTTGTGGTAGTTGTGGTAGTTGTGGTAGTAGTTGTTGTGGTGGTGGTAGTAGTAGTAGCAGCAGTAGTAGTAGTTGTTGTTGTAGCTCTAGCTGTAAATGTAGCTGTAGCTCTACATGTAGTTGTAGCTGCAAATGTAGTTGTAGCTGTGGTAGTTGTAGCAGAAGCAGTAGCAGAAGCAGTAGCAGTAGCAGTAGCTGTAGCAGTAGCTGCAGCAGTAGAAGCAGTAGAAGCAGTAGTAGCAGTAGCAGCAGCAGCAGTAGCAGCAGCAGTAGCAGTAGTAGCAGTAGTAGAAGTAGTAGCAGTAGTAGCAGTAGTAGTAGTAGGAGTAGCAGGACTAGGAGTAGCAATAACTTTAGTAGTAGTAGTAGTAGTAGTAGTAAGCTCGTAGCAGTACTCGTAGTAGTAGTACTCGTAGTAGTAGTACTCGTCGTAGTAGTACTCGTCGTAGTAGTACTCGTCGTAGTAGTACTCGTAGTAGTAGTACTCGTAGTAGTAGTAGTAGTAGTAGTAGTACTCGTAGTAGTAGTAGTACTCGTAGTAGTACTCGTAGTAGTAGTAGTAGTAGTAGTAGTAGTAGTAGCAGTAGTAGTAGTAGTACTCGTCGTAGTAGTAGTAGTAGTAGTAGCAGTAGTAGTAGTAGTAGTTGTAGTAGTAGTAGTAGTAGCAGTAGCAGTAGTCGTAGTAGTAGTAGTAGAGGAGGAGTAGTATAGTAGCAGTAGCAGTAGCAGCAGCAGCAGCAGTAGTAGTAGTAGGAGGAGTAGTAGTAGTAGTAGTAAGCTCGTAGCAGTAGTACTCGTAGTAGTAGTACTCGTAGTAGTAGTACTCGTAGTAGTAGTACTCGTAGTAGTAGTACTCGTAGTAGTAGTACTCGTAGTATTAGTACTCGGAGTATTAGTAGTACTCGTAGTAGTACTCGTAGTAGTACTCGTAGTAGTAGTAGTAGTAGTACTCGTAGAAGTAGTAGTAGTAGTAGTAGTAGTCGTCGTCGTCGTAGTCGTCGTCGTCGTCGTCGTCGTCGTAGTCGTCGTAGTCGTCGTAGTCGTCGTCGTAGTCGTAGTCGTAGTCGTAATCGTAATCGTAGTCGTAGTAGTAGTAGTAGTAGTAGTAGTTAGTACTCGTAGTAGTACTCGTAGTAGTACTCGTAGTAGTACTCGTAGTAGTACTCGTAGTAGTACTCGTAGTAGTACTCGTAGTAGTACTCGTAGTAGTAGTCGTAGTAGTAGTAGTAGTAGTCGTAGTCGTAGTCGTAGTAGTAGTAGTAGTAGTCGTAGTCGTAGTCGTAGTCGTAGTCGTAGTCGTAGTCGTAGTCGTAGTAGTAGTAGTAGTAGTAGTAGTAGTAGTAGTAGTAGTAGTAGTAGGCTCGTAGCAGTACTCGTAGTACTAGTACTCGTAGTAGTTGTACTCGTCGTAGTAGTACTCGTCGTAGTAGTACTCGTAGTAGTACTCGTAGTAGTAGTAGTAGTAGTAGTAGTAGTATTAGTAGTAGTAGTAGTAGTAGCAGTAGTAGTAGTAGCAGTAGTAGTAGTAGTAATAGAAGTAGTAGTAGTAGTAGTAGTAGTATCAGTAGTAGTAGCAGTAGCAGTAGCAGTAGCAGTAGCAGTAGCAGTAGCAGTAGCAGTAGCAGTAGTAGTAGTACTCATAGTACTCATAGTACTCATAGTACTCATAGTACTCATAGTACTCATAGTACTCATAGTACTCATAGTACTCATAGTACTCGAAATACTCGAAATACTCATAGTACTCGAAATACTCATAGTACTCGAAATACTCATAGTACTCGTATTACGCGTAGTACAAGCAGCAATAGTTGTACTAGTAGGACTAGTAGTACTAGTAGGACGAGTAGTACTAGTAGTACTAGTAGCAGCTGTAGTTGTTGTAGTTGTTGTAGTTGTTGTAGCAGTAGTCGTCGTCGTAGTAGTTGTTGTTGTTGACTGGTTTAGTTGTAGCTGTTGTAGCTGTAGTAGCTGTAGTAGTTGTAGTAGCTGCTGTAGCTTCTGTATCTGTTGTAGCTGTTGTAGCTGTACATGTTGATGTTGACGTTGACGCTGACGTTGTGGTTGACGTTGTTGTTGTTGTTGTTGTTGTTGTTGTTGCTGTTATTGTTGGAGGTGGTGGTGGTGGTGGTGGAGGTGGAGGTGGAGGTGGAGGAGGTGGAGGAGGTGGTGGTGGTTGTGGTTGTGGTTGTTGTTGTGGTTGTTGTTGTGGTTGTGGTTGTGGTTGTTGTTGTGGTTGTGGTTGTGTTTGTGTTTGTTGTTGTTGTTGTTGTTGTGGTTGTTGATGCTGATGCTGATGCTGATGCTGATGCTGATGCTGATGCTGATGCTGATGCTGATGCTGATGCTGATGCTGATGCTGATGCTGATGCTGATGCTGATGCTGCTGTTGTTCTTGGCCTTGTTATTGTTGTTCTTGTTGTTCTTGTTGTTCTTGTTGTTCTTGTTGTTCTTGTTGTTCTTGTTTTAGTTGTAGTGTGAGTGCCTGTGTAAAGTGTGCGTTCACCTTTTCGACATCTGAACGTCCAAAAGTGGTCCGGAACCGTCAGTATTTAACACTTTTGACTTGCGAATGTACTTCGGGCCACAACTGCGTGCACTTTTTCGACATCTCAACGTCCAAAAGTGGTTCGAGACCGTCAGTTTTTAACGCTCTTGACTTCGAAACGTGCTTCGCGCCACAATTGCGTGCACTTTTTCGGCATCTGAACTTCCAAGAGTGCTCCGAAGCTCAAGCGTCTTGCGCATTTTGACTGCGAAATGTGCTTCGCGCCACAAGGTCGTGCACTTTTTCAACATCTCAACTTCCGAGGCTACTTTTCGACCTTCCGGAACCACAAAACATTGGAAAAACACAGTGTTTCGCGACTTTTCTACCTTTTCGCGCACCTGGATCTTCTTGCTTCTGACTATTCTCTTCTCTGATCTTCTCTCTTCTTCCTTTCTCTGACTCTTCCCACCTCTGCCTTTCCATCTGTCCATATTGTCGGAAGTTCGACTTCTACACTTCCTTCGATAATCAATGTAATTAGGTAATCAATTAACCACCCATGCCTGCATTTTTCTTTTGAGATTACTCAGGCTATTAGCTTCGTTTTGCTCGTATATCAGCGATAGATTCTGGGCTGTTCATCCAAGTTGCAAACGCAAACACCAGATCAAAGGCTGGATGTAGGACCATGCGTGTCACGAAGGAATACTCTTTTTCATCATCTGCGTCCTCCACTCGAAGAGATGCAAACCTCAACTATGGATGGCTATCATGTCACAAAGAAGGGGACAAAGTGCTGTTACACATTGCTAAACAAAAGGAAGCAGCACATGTCCTATGGATGGGAAAATTGTGAGGTGTATAGGATAATCAAATGTACGCAGAATTAGCTGAACTGCAAAACTGCAAGTACAGCTGTATCCGCCACAAATTTCGTACTAGCTGAATTTCTGACATTTGCCAGAAAAGCTATTAATGATCAGTCAATGATCAACTGGTGGTTTTATGCATGTGAGTTGCAAAACTGGGATATCCCATATGACCATCTTCTCTATGGATTGATTGGACTCCTGGACTCCTGGAATTCCAAACCAGAAGGCAATCATCGGTTGATAAATTGTTCTTGTTGGTCAGTATTTCCGTGTTCCCGTCTCGTTTTCCTGATTATGTCCCGGCCATACCCAAATGATGAATGGCAAAGGTCAATACAGTTCCTATCTTACCATATGGATGACCATCCATATGCAACTGCAATTTTGTGATGCCATGAGCGAAAGGACACTAGACTAATATTTTTTGATCTATAGATATCAATATATATATATATATCTATATAGTATATAGAGAACAGATATCTATATACAGATATCTATAGTGTAGCCATACCATGCCATGTCCCCATCGTGTTTTTTTCCGCCCCGCCTTCGCCGCTGTAAAGCTCCATCTCTTGTGGCAGCTTTTTCCCTATGCTGTTGTTCCTCCTGCGCATTCGTTGTGAACAGTCCATTCCCAAAGGATAACCTGGCGCCGGCCCGACGATTTTCTGAAATTGGAAGACTTATAGAGACTTAGAGCATCATGACCAGCACATTGATGATCAACACGTGGCGTGTTAACCACATGACAAATGTATGTTTGAATAAAACTTGAATAAACTTGAACATAGACATCCCAAACATCTTTATGCTTCCTCTGCACCCATGATACACTAGATGCCTGGGGCGAAATGATCCGGGTGTTGCTGGATGTGGGGCTGTAGGTGTCACCCGTCCACCAGGTGTTCCTGGATGTGTAGGAGCCGTAGGTGTCACCCCTCCACTGTCGCTACTAAATTTTCGTGGGACCGGCGGGATGATGTCAGGAGAAACATCAACGCGAGGTGCAATGTTATAGCTGCCAATGCTGCCAGCGCCACGTATCCTGATCTGGAAGATGGAAAAAATCAGCGCCCCCAGAGCTATTTGAGCGGTTCAAAATGATCGAGTGCTCAGAAACAGGGTCTAGAGGAAAAGCCGGAAACTCTTAGTTTCTTCTTACTGCTTGTATGAATGCATTCTGTGTATAGCCAGCGACTGCCCCTAAAATGAAGCGGTTCAAATGATCGGGATTTCTGTTAACTTTAAACCTTTCGTGCACTTTGAGTATACGTTGTTGAGTGCCACCAGGAAAGGACTGAGGGGGTCAAATGATAAAATTCAAAACATTGTTTAGCGGAGAAAATTGAAATTCTGATGCTGAACCGTTCATGCACTCTACACTCTGTGCATACCTTCAAAATGCATGCTTTCCATGCTGATGCCTGGATGGTATGTATATAGCACAAGAGGTGCTCTTGCAGCTTTGGGTGCGCTGTGAATCTTCCCAGTTGGTAGCATTATATAAGCTTTGAAAACTAATCAGGAAAATACTTTTTTCGTGGGTTTTGCGGTTTATATTGCCGCTCTCGTTGAATGCTTACTGAGTGCTAATCAGTGCTTACTGAGTGCTTACTGAGTACTTACTGAATGCTTCTGGGTGCTTCTAGGTATAGGCAGGTAAATGCAGTCTTCTGAGCATGTTAAATATTTTGGGCTCCAAAACCGGACCTTTTGGTGATAGTTTTTAGTGAAATTTGAATGCTCCCAGTCTTCGGCACGTTTATAAATATATATATATATATATGTACTTATACTGATATATTATGTAGATAGAGATAGAGAGAGAGAAAAAAAAAAGATACACAAGAGTGGTACAGTATATATACGGAGGTGCATGCACAATTAGTGATATTTGCCTTGGAGTCGTATATAGTATAAATACATATAAATACAGTATATGATGCACAAATATTTGCAGGCACACATGTTGCGAATGTGTTTGAATGTTTGATTGTTTGATTGTTTGTTTGTCTGTCTGTCTATCTGTCGGTTTGTCTGTTTGTTTGTAGCAGGAAAGAGACAAATAGCGTCTAACCCTCCGTCAAGATTCGCAGCAGGCGTCTTTATCGCATCCAGAATCTGCGACAACTTTTGATCCTGCTGCTCCAGTTTGTTCATGATGCGCTTGTGCCTTACTTCGCTCAAGTGGCTCGCGTCGAAAGCTACACAGTGCTAGACCGCATGTGCTCATTTGTAATGCTCTGGATTTGATCATTGCACCTTCACATCATTCGCAAGCAAGCCTGGTATATTCTTTGGAATGCAACGGTTTGGACAGCCATATGCCATCTGAGTCTGTGCTAAAATAACAACCCATTGAAATTAGAATATGACGTGAGAACTAGGGACTTAACCATCAAAGAATTGGGGGACTTCACAAAGAAAAACGTGGAGACGTAACACGACTTAACCAGCAAACACTGATGGCTCGAGCCCCACTAAGGACCAGCGACTGTTGGCCGGTCACATCTTGCAGCTCCATCTGCACGGAGGAGAAAAACTCCTCCGTGACTTCCCAAGGCATGTCTGAACCTGTCCGGCCTGCTCAAAAAGCCGCAACATCACCAGAAACATCACTAGAAACCTTGGGGAGATGATGGATTTCATATGATTTCATATGAATTCATATGAATTCATATGATTTCATGGATCTCAGCTGTCAAAGACCCAACCATAAACATGAGATCATGCTATATCGTGCTCATAATTATATCATATTTATCTCATGTCGTATTCATCAGATCGGGCCATCGCCTCTGTGAGTGAAAAGGGGATCTTTCGTGGAATGAGGCTGCTCCAAGAACATCTTCTCTGCCTGGACAGTGCCAAGTCCTTTGCTCTATCAGACTCGAAACAAAAATATCTTCAAAATTGGAAGCCTTAAAAATGGTCGGATCTTACAGTACTATTTATATATATACAGGTAATCACAGGTATCCGATTCGCGGTCCGATATCCATCGTGCCTTACGGCTTTCACGGGCTGGACCCACTGGTCCAGTGGCCACCCAGGCGAATTTCTGGTGTCACGCCTTTTCTCACCAAACTCCTAAGTGGATTTTGTGAAGTTGTCGGTAGGGAATCCCGACTACAATCATACTTGATCATACTTGATGTTGATGGCAAAACCATTGTTTTTTGATCTTAGCAATGAATCTGCTACTAAAATGGCCTTGGGTTCCTCATCCTCTTCGAGGAGGACTTCCATTGCAGCGACGGCACCCGCCACACTTCGCTGTTTTGTCGTGTGCGTTTCCGGCGCGGCGGGAAAATGATGTTAACTTACTGGTCTTAGATGGATTTGGGGTGCATCCGCAAACAAACCTGTACGGTTGTGGGTCTTCAACACCTTCTCTCAAGAATGCTGCCGGAATGGACAAAAATTGGAACGTCCACAATCTGCCAGCCGGTAGCCAAAGTCACAGCAGCATACAGAAGCAACTCAACCAACAGAATCAACGAAGCTGCTGGTTCTGTTCTCGTTGGTGAAGAAAGGAAGATCTGGCACCCTGACCAATGGGCTGTCTTCACTTCATTTGAATGCTTAATTCTCGACACATGTTCGCCCTAGGTCCAAGTAGGAGTCACTTCTTTCCCCTTTCTAGTGAACGTCTTGCTGATTGTTTCACGTTGAGACGTTTCCCCACTGAGGCACTGGCAAACCCAGAGTGAAATCTGCCAACACGGCACCAGTGTTGATGATTGACAACTCGGCCTGAACAGTGGACGTCCCGTATCAGACCCTTCTTGATTTACTGTCTGGTGATTTTGATGAAATTCGCAAGGCCTGTTGCTTTGAGTCTCCACAAAGGCATACACTGCAGACTGGATGCTACAGTATCATCATGCTGCGACAGTGACAGCTGAATTCAGGATGGAAGATCTTTAGCGTTCTAATCCTTAATGCGTGTTCGAAATAGACCGTCCTACAAAGCCTTTAGGTTTTCCAGTTGTCCCAGATGTGAGACACTAAACATCACTAAACACTTGTCCTCAACAGCGGAAAAGACTCCGGGTGGGAGCAATGGGTGGGAAGTCCAAAACTCTTGGGACCAGACCAAGCGTTCGTCAAATACCCCGATAATTGCTGTTCATTGCCACATTCTTGCCTTCCACCAGCAGTCGTTTGCCCTGCTGCCTCGCCACTTCCAGACAAAGCTTCAAATGCTGGTGCTTCAGCTTTGATGATGCGCCCAGGGGCCACGTTTGTCACCTCAGAGGAAGGGTTTCAGATAATTCAGACAGGACATGATTTGAAAGTAAAAGTCATATAACTATTATCATGCTCAATAAGCTTTTAGATGTTGTATCCCCGCATCTATGAGATCTTATGGATGCATATGGCCGTATGGCTATGGGTCAAGACCTGTCAAGACTTAAGACCCAGGAACCTGCATGTTTTGTTACTGTAACTTATGGCAATTTCATCAATACACCTTACATTTCCTTGCTATCCAAGCGCGGGCAGCGCCAGCAGCAAATTGCAGGGCATCCCCTGGGCTGAAAAACCACCATTTTAAGCCAAGCTGCGAGGAATTTTCAAAAACAGTGAACTTGCATCTTGCAGATCTATCTCAGAGTTTGCTTGGATCAGTTGGATCAGTACCTTTTAGTATTCTGCAATGCCTTTCTGAGATCTCCTCCGAAACCCGTGCTGGGTTCCCCAACAAACATGGCCGACTCTGCACGAGCTTCCAAGCGCATGAGAGTTGTGTGCCTTGGAAGAAACCCTGAGAAAAGTCTGGGCAGTTCATCCTGTGGGAATCAGTACGATGGGCGAAGCAGGGAGAGAATATGTGGATGTCTAATCTGGCGCAGGTTCTATCCATGCAAAGCAGCTACTTGAATTATCGTACAAGTCGGCTACAAAATAGATATATTAATATGAGGAAATGCTGTACTAGATCCGCCTGCAAAGACTGCTGTAAATGTTGAATAATGTTGATATCCTTTGCAAAGTGTACTGTACCAGGATCGCCAACACCACCAGAACCAGAACCAGCACCAGCACCAGCACCATCATCATCATCATCATCGTCGTCGTCGTCGTCGTCATCGTCGCCGTCGCCGTCGCGGTCGCCGTCACCGTCGCTGTCGCCGCCGTCGTCGCCGTCGTCGTCGTCGTCATCGTCATCGTCATCGCTGTCGCTTCGTCCTCATCCTCATCCACATCATTATCATCATCACCACCACGCAACATAATTACGTTTCTTATTACTATTGTTATCATTTACATTATTATCACCATTGTGCAGCTGCCAGTATCTTGGTCTACCGACCGTTGAGTCATCGGACATGCCAGCAGGAATTGCATGCCTCGAAAAAGGTTTCACACCAGCAGTGCAGCTGCCAAAACGCCACTACCAACGTGTCCCAGAAACATTATTAATATATGGTAACAATATAAACATTATATGGATATACTATGAATATAGACTATAGACTAATTATAGATAATAATCCATTAGTCGTAAGCCTGATGTGATTTTAAACACCCCTTTAGAAACCATGCTTTAGTGGGGAATTTCCACATCATTGGAACCATAGATGGGGGTGTTTAATACTAGAGGGATGGACCCGGATGGATTTAGTCACAAAATGTGATAAACCTGATGTGTTTTTGCTACAACAAACAGCTGCGGAAATAAATCACCTCAGCCCTTTTCTGTTTTCGTACATCACTTCATTCACTGGGTGATCTGCGGAAATTCCCCAATGATCCATCCACCCAGCCTGAAGTTCCTTCAGTGACCCACTCCATGGCTCCTTCACCTGGCATGTTGGCGCAATGAGATGCTGCCAACATCAGCCGTTCTTTTGTGATTTTCAGTATCAAACGAAGAATATCTCAACTCCAAGAATTGTCGGGAAAATCTAGGGGAAACCCAAGGATTCGTAGTGTTGGATCCTGATTTGTGTGTGGTCCCAACAAAAAAACAAATGCAGTACTCTCTTTAACGTGTGTAATACCTGTAGTACTTGTAGTACTTGTAGTACTTGTAGTACTTGTAGTACTTGTAGTACTTGTAGTACTTGTAGTACTTGTAGTGAGTGGGGGTTATCATGTTGATTGCGTTACCTTTTCCACCTTATTATTATTATGTGTTTAATTAAAAGTGTAATAAGAGAAGAGAAAGAAAAAGAGAAAGGGAAAGAGAGAAAGAAAAAGAGAGAGAGAGAGAGGAAGAGGAAAAGGAAGAGGAAAAGGAAGAGGAAGGGGAAGAGGAAGATAAAGAGAAAGATGAAGAGACAGGAAAAGAGAAAGATAAAGGAAAAGAGAAAGAAAAAGGAAAAGAGAAAGGACAAGAGAAAGAGACAGAGAAAGAGAAGGAGAAAAAATAAAGACAAGGTTGCTTTTGTAAAAGGCGTTTCTTTCTTTTCTTGGCTCCAGGATCAGCTCTGGAAAAGTTTGCTGCAAATGTGAACCCTGAGAACAAACCTACTAAAGTGAACTGGGCCCTCTCATGGCCCAGTGCCTTTGAAATTTGTGGAAAAACTGTTCTTTAATAAGAGTTTAATAAGCGGTCTGATTCTTTTGCGAAAGGCTTGGGCTTTGAACTTGTCGTGTGCTTTTGTAATATGTGTTTCTATGTGTTTCTTGCTTCTCTTGGCTCCAGGATCAGCTCTGGAAAAGTTTGCTGCAATTGTGAACCCTGAGAACAAACCTACTAAAGTCCCAGTGCCTTGGAAATTTGTGGAAAAAACTTTTGTTTAATAAGGGTTTAATAAGCGGTCTGATTCTTTTGGGACAGGGAGGAGACAAGCAAGATTGTTTCCAGAAAAATGTTCAGATGGTTTTTAACGCAAGCATTTTTTGGACGAATAAAATGGTCTGCCAAGAATTCTTTCCACAATAGTGAACCTTCCAAACATTGCAGGGCTTTAAAATAATTTGTGAAAAATTGGCCACAATAGCGAACCTAGCTACTAATCAGGATACAACTTTGCCGAAAACATTCGATTGATCAAGCAGGGCCGGATCTGCAGTAGCGCGACACCAGGTTCTGTGGCTGCTGGCCACTTTGCACTCGCAGCGAATCCTGCCGTGTCGTCGCCATAGTGACCAGTGGGAGATGGATATGGTGCTCCAACCGGATGAGTATGGATCTAAACTGGGTACCCAAATGTGCCGATGTTCAGCCATACCCACACTGTATATTTAGAATTTTGGAAGATTCCACTGATATGCCATGTCATGCTGGCCTTCTCAGCACATGAAAACTGGATGGCTCTGTGTTGCAGCTGTTTGGCGCCATTTCCACTTGCGCGAGCTGTGAGTTGCAGCTGAGTTTCCTGACTTTCTTTTTTGGTGAAAAAATTGGAGTATATATCCATAGGATAATCATCAATCCATGAATTAATAAATATGAATTTTTTATATTCCCATTAAAAGAATTCCTACTGTGGATGACCAGCGGCCGAATCTGTTGTTTTTATGTGGCCTCGTTGTGAAAGTCATCCAGTTGTTCAAAGAGACAGCTTCCAGCCGGTCGATGACAACCTTCTGGTTGATACCTGTGCCGCCATGGTCACCATGGATGTGGATGTATGAAATAACGAGGTGTAAGTTCCATGCAATTAGATTCCAATGATATCGTTGCGTTGCGTCAAGGGGGTTGCTCTGGCGAAGCTTCATCACCAAGTCCAATCCTCTCGTTTGCCATGTGCATGACTCAATAGGAATAGGTGAGACAAGAATTGAGATGAGGAGATTTGGCCTTGTTTTCTTCACACCGCCATCCGAAAAGCCCACTGAAGTTGAATCCAGGGTGTGTTAACTTTGTTTCAACAAAAAGGACAAGAAACAATATGAGGACGATCCTTATCCGATCCACCTGAAAGCTGTGTACGACACTCCAATCTTGTCGCAAGTCCTGGCTGCGGCTTCCACTTCGGACGAATCCCGCTGGTAGGATCTCCCAACTGCAACAGATCATGTTGGTTGTCAATCATCTGTTCAAACCATCCCGATTAATGCCTTTCAGAGCATTTTTTTCAACGAGCTCAAGTCCTGATGAGGAGATGAAGCAGTGTAGGTTTTTTGACGAGCAAGAAAACGAATGGACTAATGCTCCAGCTTATGCCAGGTAGAGCCACTGGAAGTGAAGCAATGCACCTGTATTGTACAATGTTATGAGTACTGTAGACACAATATACATGTTACATAACTATAAATTGATTAATTACTTACACTATATACATGAAAAGAAAAAAGTCTCAGCCTCCCTACTAATGTGCATCATCCATCATCATCTGGGAGTGTGACTTGCCAGGGCCATATTTCTCACCGGTCACCTTTCTCAATTCTCACGTCAACCTCTCCTGCCAGAGAGGTCGAACAACGACCTGGCAGACCCGCTGCGCCATTTCTGTGCAATGTCCAACATCACCCGAGGCCCAGCTACAACTTCCAAGGCTAAACCCGGTGGATACTGATCAAATTGGATATTGTTGGATAGCCGTGGGCCAAAAGTGGCATGAACTGGCTTGTGTGATTTTCATCCCGCGCTGCCTCCTACCTACCAAGACCTCACCTCATCCAAGTCTGCAAAGGTATGTGACTGACAACAGCTACAACGTGGGCCTGTCAAGCAGCATTGCATTTTTCATCTGCCTTGGCACTCTGTTCCTATGCATATCTCACTCTTGAAGTTTGAAGTGCACATCTATGCTTGGGTCTTCTCAGGGCTTTGCTCATTGGCATCCACCCGCTCGTGTCCTCACGCAACAAACTAAACCACAAAGTCGCTTGTATGATATATTTTATATGATTCTGCCATTGAATCATCTAAATTTGTAGCATAATTGAAGGTGTGGATTCTGTCCTAATTAAAAGTGCTGCCGATATGAAGGTTTTTGGTTCTTGCTGATGAACTCACATGGTTGTTCAGTTTGAGCCATGCCCATCTTGCCCCAAGCAGTTGGAACTCTGAGGCACCCACCTATTGGCCGAGCAGGGACTGCCAGGTACCTGTGCACTGGCATGACAAGATCCTCGATGTGTCTATGGTAATGAATCGATAAATCATAACTGGGTAAGTGCATTTTCAATAGGTATGACCGCACTTTCAATTTGTTGGAACCTACTTGCCAACATTCCAGATTAGTTTTCGCAGCCTTATCCCGTATCCCTCAAGAACAGGATCAGGGAGGCATCCAACAAAAAAAATCAGCCACCTTTCCTTCAAATTTCATAGCTCTTTCAACATCATTCTTATCATTCTTGAGATCTCATGAACATGTCACCATTGGGAGTCTGCAGAATTGCTCATTTCCTTGACGAAGGCACCGCAACGCCATGCTTAGCGCCCCTAGGGGATCACTTGGATTCAAAACGATGAGGAGCTACTGCAGTGGCAAGATCACCCACGAGCTCTGCTCTGAGTGTGCCTTGCCAAGCTTCAAGTGGTTGACAGTCTGGAAACCTCTGGAAACCTCTGGAAACCTATCTGATCTATTCTGATCTCATCTCATCCAACCTTTTCATACCTTCATTTTTGCGTATTTGCATGGAAATTGAAGCTCCAAGGATTTCAATATATACAGTATTATACAGTGATGAGCCCCTGCCACTTGCAAAATGGTGTTATTTTCAATTCCACCCTGGAGATCTCTGGAGGATTAAGTACCCTGAGATCACCTGAGAACTGGGATAAAGGCCGTCAGATACTGCAGCTGTTGGTTGCTGGTGGCCTGGAAAAAATTGCTCGCCGAGACCCAACGAAAGGAAATGCAAACAAAATCATCGAACAAATTCATGGTATTTCATGGTATTTCATGGTCATGGTTGGCGTTCCAATATCTGAATTCTTTCTGCACTGAGTTCAAGGGGAAAAAGCAAAGGATTCAGCCTGGCTGGTAAGCTTTGACCAACTCAGAAAGTGATGACAGATTTCAAACTCGCCGGAGATACTGAGCGTCATTGTCGTTTCAGAATAGGTCACATTCCTGCAGAACAGCATGAATAGCATGAAGATCATGAAGACTTGGAGGCTCTGAGGCAGAAATGGCACTGAAAAGATTGACTTTCGGAGCAGAATTCAACTCCATGTGAAGGATGGATATCGCAAAACAATGCACAAATCACTTAAGATCACGTCAAATAGTGAAGGTCCTCCACCCATTCACGTAAGCCGAAGGAATCTGCAGCCGTACCGTGATGTCGTAGAAGATCTGCCACATGCACAGCGCACTTCACTAAACTTCACCCTTCTGCCACTTCTCCTTGCATCGCCCATGCCCAGCCTGCGGTGGCGCCACCTCGAAGACGGAGTACCACAACTCATCAAAGTTCAAACAATGAGCAGTATCACCTCACATCGGGTCCATGTCGGTCCATGTCAATCCATGTCCATTTCAAGGTAGACATCCAGGGACATCCACCATTGGCATCTCATGGCATGTCCTTAACCAGCTGCAACCCTGGCTGCTGCGGACCAAAGACTCATCGAAAAAAGATCACAGCTGGAAGTGCCACGACTCGCTTCGCCGTTCCTTGGAACGTTGTGGGCAGCGGCTGCGTCGCCATGAAAAAGACATCAGTGCAATGCAAGTCAACAACTATCTGCTATCTCAGACCCTGTTACTCCAGGGCGACCTATATTGAAATGATGTTCGGAGATATATACTTGAGATCACTCTTGTAGAACTTCGATGACAAGGTAAGACCAAAATGATTTGACTGTTTTCATCTTGCTGGTGCACAATTCCTATCTTTCACTGAGAGAGTCCGGTAGACCAATTCAGGCACCAACACTACTTTCCCAACGTCGCAGCCACAGCAAAAGCCCTGCGGCATTCGGTGGCGCGGAGCAGTCAAGCTTGACTATGAAACACAATCAAACATACACTGCTACGCTCTGGATGACCATTGATGAGCATTGATGAGCATTTCCAGCTGGATGAAGACCAAATCCTAAGAGTTTCAGCTGCCTTTCGGCCTGTATCACCATCTCTAGAGAATGGGTCTTGAACATGACCCTTCTGATAGCAGGAGCTAGATTCTGCATCAGAAAACGGATAAGTCCCGGCCAAATTCACTGTGCTCCACACCCCCACCTCAGAGTCTGGTACCCGAGTGTCACCCAGATCTGGCCAGCTGGATTGCAGCTGTCATGTCGTGTCGCTGAAAAAATGGGGCTCACAGATGGCAACTGGCTGAACAACTCCAGTCGCATTGACCAGCCCCGACCAGCTGCCATGCGGCAGAGGCACAAGCCACATCGCAGGTGATTGCCTGGACGGGCGGTTGGCTGGTGAGGATACGATCAACGTGTGATTCTATCAGATATAAACAAAGCACCATTAGCCAGGCTTCATTGAGCATTTAGTGTGAGACGGTACAGGACAATTTGGGGATCGAGATATCAAGATTATCCATCTGCGTTTGCAAAAAAAAAACTCAGCCCATCCTCAGCCCATTTTGAGCCGGAAAAACAGTCGCCATCTGGGTGAACCGACTTTGCAGTCACCGCGACTCTTCACTCTGATCCCAGAGTCTACAGGGTTTCTTCGCAGTTTTGAGTTGGTTTCAATTACATAATGTTACATAGACATACATAGACTACATAACACCTTGCAACTAATCGCATCACTAGAACTGAGTCACTGTGGTGTAGCAGTGTAGCATGTTTTGTCCAAGCTTCACCAGTGACCCGGGTGACCCTAGGCTTTCACTGGAGCACTTTGCTGCAGGAACTGAGCCATTTCAATGGCCAGCTTTTGCGGATCCTGACCACTGATGGTGGCTGTGTGGCACCAGGTTTCTGGGTGACTACTATGATTACTCATGTAATATATCAATATCACCCCTTATCATTCCCAAAAACGATGAAAAGGTCGTCACTATTTTAGTAATACTTGTCTATCTTATTCGGGCTTATTTGCTGATAGCTCCCCCTCGGGTAATCAATCATGACTTACTGGAAAATCCCCATTTAGCTGGTCAAGTGGGACAACCGCAGTCGCCCAAGGCTGATGGCCTCATAGATGTAGTAATGGGAACCTCCAAAGTCATCCTCAGATTGAGAGAAGCTGCTTTTCAAAGGTGTCTGTGATCTCTCTCTCTGGCTAGATCTGGGCCAATCTTTCTTCAAGGAACTTGTTGTGAGCAAGAGTCTGTATGGCCACCACTGCTTTTAAGACTAGTAGGTTTCCCGACTCCAAAATAAACGATAGTTCACAAGACCAATATGTCCACTTTGGAATAAAGATACGTCCCCATTTTCGCTGTATATTCCGCGAGAAATTCTTTTGTTTGGTGATATCAAATATCCCCAATTCTCTCCACAATTATGCCTACGCACAGTATATCTTGTTATTTGATATCCCCATCTTCATTGGTTCCATTCCACACCAAGGGTCCACTAGGTTAGTGGGCCCTCCCAGCTGCACGGCCATGTCGTAGCTACAGCGTGCCGGGGTGATGAAATCAGGCGTTCCTTCGGCAATGGCACCCGAGAATCGCAGAAGTCTAGGACGAGAACATGGTGGTTTTACTGATTTTACTGGATACTGATGTTACTGGGAGCCCCCTTTTTACTGATTTTACATGATTTTACTGGAAACTTGAATGAATGGTAAAAACCACGGTGACTTTCTCTTCTCTGACTTCTTCTCTTCTACAGTATCTCTTTCTCTTCTCTGCCTCTTCTCATCTCTGCTGCTTCATCTGTCCATATTGTCGGAAGTTTGACTTCTAAACTTCCTTCGATAATATAATCATATATGTCACATACTAACCCGCTGTGCTCAAATATCATGGATGGTTGAAACAGTTGCCACTGGTCCTGTCACCACCAAAGCAGGCACTTTGATCTCTGGAAGTCGCGAGAAGATCTTATGGTGTCCTCAGCGGACACGCTCTCGTTGAGATTTCGGGAAGATGAGCAGTGAAGAGCACTAAAATATACCAAAATATTCTGGCTGAAATCAAATGAAATAAGTATGTTGAAATCTGCATGAGGACAGATTTGCACATCAGATTTATGCGATCCTCTGATCTTACATGTAGGCAAAAAGAAACATGGATGCGCTTTAGCAAGTCTGCTAAGCTCTCAACCTAGAGCTAACGCATAGCGGCAGTAGTTCAAGAAGTGCTCTTCGGATTGCAACATGTCCTGCACTCTGCATTTATTAACCTGTCACTTCCACCATTCAATTGATTTTGTTTACAGTAAGCCAATCCATTGAACCATCTTCCACAACGGTCACCTGAACCTACGGCAGCTCCCATCCTGGGTATAGCGCACCCCGGCTGCAGCAATGAGGTCACTACCAAAAAACCACAAGAGGCAGCTGGCCAAACGTTCGAAGGCACTGCTATGCCTGGTGCGGCTAATGGATGGTCCAATGGATAGCTGTTTTTATATCCAGCACAATTGTGATGATAAACCACCATCAGAATTTCCAGTTGTTGGTTGATGTTGGTTGATGAATGTTGACCAACAACTTCAGTTCGGCATGACCTGCAGAGAAGTCCGTGCATCATCTGGCGGTGCTTTTGCAGCAACCGCGGCGCCAATCGCAAGCCCAGATCCAACAGCGATGGCACGCCTATGGAGATGTCTGGCCATGAACCAACGACCGGGTCGAAATATGATCAGTGAAACATAGCGAAACTCACTGAACCATTTTAGGGACAAGATCAACTTGGATTCCTCAGGTAGACCATGGAAGACCCTGAAGTCACGCCGCCTGGAACCTGACAAATAGGCTGCAGGAGGGCCTTCATTGCCTCGCCAGTCGTACCTTACAAATCAGATTCCAGCGATTCCATGGATCACCATGGATTAGCAGCTTAGCAACTCAAACTCTCTGTCTGGAAAAAAACGCACATCGAAAATATCGAAAGGTCACATCATGTCACATCTATTCGAGCAAATGTGGTCACATCTATTCCCAATTCGACAAGGCTTCCCGAATGGATTTCCAGCAAATTCAATGGTAGAACCTCCGAATCACTGGATAACAGACGTGGCTACAGCTCCCAATTTTCAGCCCATACCTTGCCTTGGATGAGCACCATTGCCTTGACAAGATCAGGTCGATCCAAAGCCAACTGCAAGCCAACCTGGGTTCAAATGACTGGCCATCTCTGTCGTCAGATGAAAAACCTGCAGTTCTGCAAGAACTTCGAGTTTTTCAGGCGCAAAACTGTAAAAACCCAATCCCGAGCATGGAATCAACAAGCATGCAGGTTAGGTGAATGATTTAGACTAATTTAGACCTGAGCTACTCTGGCTGGTCGATGTCTCTTTCGGGACTTTTGAACCGCACTTTCTAGATGGTTGATCATTCTGTGACATCATCACTTTACATAAATTGATTCTTCAAATCTTGGGTACCTCAGACACAGCTGTCAACAAGTACAGTTTAGCAAAATTTCAGCAAAGGTATCTGTCTCAACATCGAAGCTGAAGACCAAAAGCAAGTTCAGAAATGGCGGGCAAACCAAACCAATTCTGTCGCCAAACTTTTGAACGTCTCCTACAACCATTGGTGACATTGTACCATTGGTATCCATTGGTATAAATTGTTAGCAGATTATACAGTTGAAAATGCTTAAATTATCTTATATATAACATCTCAAAGTGTGTTGGCCCAAGCAACCTGGACACCGGTGGACCAGCAGAGCAAGGTGCATTTCTTCAGTTTTAAATGATCTGCCAGTTTCGCGGCATCCTCTGCACTGCGCTCAACGGAGATCTCCCCCTGCAAAGGCATGCTGTCCTCAGCGCACTGCACCAAAGTGCTCTTCAGCCATGTTCGGCTTGTTGATCTTTGAATAATCCTCTTGATTTTCAGCCACTTGCTTCAGGTGGGTCAAATTGAGTCAAGTCAAAATCAGCAAGAAACCATGGGTTCCCAGCTTTGATAAAGATATAGCTGTCCCCACAGACGTGATTGGCACCCCATGGTTTTTTCAAGGACCAAACAGCTGTGAATCAGCTACAGTTGTTGCTGCCGGAAGACGAACTGGCCGCGATAGTCAAAGATAATCAACCTTGGTCGTCAACTGGTGCATGTCTGAAGAAATAAAGCATTTCTCGTGTGCACTTTCCACTGTCTTGGGATGTGTGACTTCCTCCTTGGAACACACAGAGGACCCTGGAACGGGCAATGTCATGCAATTTCTAAGGGGAAAATCGTTTTCCAAACTCTTGCTGGTACAGGCCCCATATCTTCTTTTTTTTTCAATCCCTGTGCATCTTGGATACCCATTCGCTCTTGGCCAAATATGCGAAATCCTCATTTCTTCAAGGGGGACTTTTCCCTCCACGGCACCGGCGCTTGGCCCAGGACGGCTCTGCCGATCGCAGCGCCGTCAGCAGCGGAGCCCAGGTCCTGACACGGGCGCCCAGGCCGTTGCAAACGAGCACGGCATCTGGACCACGCGGTGCCACGTGCACGTGGCAATTTTGTCACTGAAACTTGGGGATTGAAGCAACGAAAATGAAGAGTTTAAGCATATATATATATATATATTTATTTATTTAATCCTCCATGCTTAGCCGATAGCCACCTTTGCCAACCATTCTATACACAGATGGTCGTTTATAAAATGTATGTTAGGGTCATTGGTTTTTAGAAAGTGATTATACAGATAGTGGTGGGTTTATAAAATGATTTACCAGGTAGTGGGCAATTATAAAATGAAAAGCCGATGTGTTTATAAAATGACACCAAAAAATCCAGACCAGGTCAAAGGGCAGTTGGGTCACAATGTTAGTAGCAAAGGTTGTCTTTATGAAATTCACTTTCCAGATCTTAGAGAGCTACTTGTGAACCACTGCCAGGGGTTTATAAAATGCTCTTTCCACATCGTCATAGAGCTCAAACAAATGGCACTTTTCCTCTTGCGCGCTCGGGCCATCTTCATTACAAGATACTTTTAATGCTGGAATATCACATTTATGAAATGCCTTTTCCAGCTGACAGCATCTACCAGCCAATGAACCCATCGTCTGGAAGTTCTCTCAAACTGTTTTTTTTTATAAAATGCTATTTCTGCCTGAGCCTGTTTGGTTGCTCCTCTTTACCTATATTTTTGGTATGAAATGCCCCCCTGTTACAGCATTTTATAAGGACAAAGGTCGGGCATTTCATAAGGTACCAGTCATGGAGGATTTTATTTATTTATTTAAGCGGTAAAAATTTGCAAAAATTAGGATTTGACTGATTGACCAACAACAAGGCAACCGGTTGACTCGGCGCCCTTGTAAGGGTGACGAATTTGAAATTCTGATTTTTGAAGGTAAGAGGCAAAATGTTGGTATTTGCAGGAGTCGTCAAAAAATGTTTGCAAAATGGGCATTCATTTCGATTGGCAGGCGTGTGACTCAAGAGTGAAAATTTGCGTTTCGCCTGCGCGGTGACTCGATTTTGCTCTTCAAGGGTCAAAAAAAAACATTAGAAATCTATGATTTTCAATCATCCGAGTCATATCAGGGCGGCATTCACTCTTCCAGTTTTTTCCTCTTCTCGACGCTAGCGGTGCCAGAGCGCTTGTGGCAAAGCAGAACCCACAGTCTGCAACAAGGCAGCATTGTGACGCCATGTCCAGCTGTAGGCCCATGTGTACCTTTCTTTGTGCACGTTTTGGCTTTTTTGTGGAGCATCGACGGAGGTCGACACAACATGATGCCCCCAATTCAAACACTTTGCTATTTGGCGCAACCACTTTGACAACAACGTAATATATTTTCTACTGATCACATATACATTTAGTGTCAACATTTATAAATCAAGACAAAACAACAAATTCGAACCCCCCCCCCCACCCCCCACCCCCCACCCCCCCCCCCCCCACCCCCCATCCCCCCCCTGATGATCATACGACAGCATGTGCAACACGTTAAAAACTCAAAAAAATCAAATCCTATACCCCCATTTGCGCAAGCCTCATTTTTGAAATGTGCAACCCTTCCAAGGGATCGTAAATGGAACATCTCAAAATTGGCAACCCTTCCAAGGGCGCCGTATCAGCCGCATGCCAACAACAACGATGGGGAATTGGTCAGTAAGAGCGTTTTGGGACTGGTGATTTCACCAACAAAGATCTGGTGAGAACCCACCAAAGACAGGGATTTCGTCGGATTTTGCCATTTAGAATTGGCAGTTTACATCACAACTCATGAAATTTGGTGAAATTTGGTGAAATTTGGTGATGGGTCATGTCACCTCTTGATCCCTGTCCTATCGCAAGTGTTGCTGGTCAACATCCCCAGGGTTCCAAATTTGGGTTTGTCTGATAGGGTACGAGTACCCCATACGCCATGTTCAGACATAACCCAAACATCATAAATATTGGTCATTAGTCATACATGTCACTATTGAACCCCCACTCTAATCCCCCAAAAAAGTGTTGATTCTCCACGGTACTTTTGGGATCTCTTTGGGATGTCCCAGCCCCTGTCCCAGCCCTCCTTCTCTGCCTGACGCATCTTTTGGGCCCACGTCCCAAAACGCCAAGCGCTGCCCTGCGAGCTGCAAGGACTTCTGCGCGCCGAGGACGGCGTACTCTGCGCCTCAGGGAGGTTTCTTGAGGAAAGTTAGTAGATGCTGAATATAGATTCATATAGTAAACATTTGATAACAGCTGGTATTAAACTTATTATAAGTTATTGGGTTTGTTGGTGGTTGACCTGGCATGGATACTAGCAGCTCATTCATGAACCAAGTGCGAGTTTTTGCAAGCAATAGGCTGCATCGGCCTTCTCCTTTCTCTGCGTCAGGTAGGTAAAGCTCCTTGGTCGATGCAGAGAGCCCAGGTCCAAGAGTTATTGGCTCGGATGGGCACTGGAGATGATTTAGTACTCAGTGCACCACAGGTTAAGGATTGGTTTTACCCGTTAAGAACAAACGTAATGTGGTAAACCCATGTAAACCCAATAGCAAATTTTCACATTGACCAACTAATGGGGTGCTATTATAAATCATCCCAATAGGGATGTACCCAAGAGCAAACTAAAATTGGGAGTGGCTTATGTTATTGTAAAGCTAGGGGCCTAACTAGGAGTTTGCCTGAAATTCATGCCTCATGTTGGAGTGATGACGTTTCTTTACATGTTTTTACTGTGTATTTACGTTGGTTTGCAGCGTGTCCCGTTTTCAAAGGTAACCCATGCCATTTTCCCAAATTTTGAAGTCGGAATTCATGACCCTCTGCGGGAATCTGCTGTCCTTTTTCTCTCAATTGCTCCATTCATTCTCCTTTGTCCCTCCGCGCGAACCCCTTGTCTTGCGGCTAAAGTGACCACAAATTGTTAACAACAGAGCGACACTTGGAATTCAAAAACCACATCAAATACGAGCACAGACAGTCAAGCATGTCAATGGAAAAAAACACATTTAAGTTTTTAAGTATATCTAAATTACTTTACTTCGAGTGATCCCCACTATGGCATTTCAAGGCACCTATTCTGACATATATTCTGTCAATCATCATACCAGTCCACCCTCTCGCAAAAGAGACAGTGCATGGTATGCTTTGGTTTTTAAGCAAACCAACAAGGCTTTACCTTGGTAGAAACACCACATCAATACATCACATCACATATGTTCTGACATACTATCTGACATTCTATCTGAGATCTTGCACTTGCGGTTGAGGTCCGGCAGTGCCCACTGAGATCTGGCGCTCGCGGGAGAGGTCCAGCACTCCCCACTGAGATCTGGCACTCACGGTTGAGGGCGGAGTCCGAGGCGGGAGGTGGAGGACGAGGAGGTGGAGGAGTAGGAGGGGGAGGCGGTGCGGCATGCAGCTCTGATAAAATCTAGAGACCGTCACGCGGCAGGTGGGGAATCACCTGAAATCCATTGACATGTTTTATTCAATTGCTCCCCTACTGGATCCATCCATTTAACGATGTATAGCAGGGACACTATATTATAGATATTAAACATATATACATATATATATATATTATGTTATGTATATATATATATTATAATGATATATATAAGAGATATTGTCTATACATGTATAAATTATCTACATATATATATATAATATTTTATATGTGTATTATATTATACTATATATATACGTATATATAATGTATATATATAATAGATATCTATATCATAGATACAGTATATACAGTGTATATATATATATACCTTGTAAAATCTTGTAAAATTGTTATATTTAGTGTATATATATATATATAAACATTCATATGTTAATATGTTATATCTCAATCCGTTTGCAGGGACCGACTCAGCACTTCCCCCTGAAGACAGGTCTCCACGAAACGTCGGTGTAATCCCTCCACCGAGGCTTCCAAGGGCCGATTCTCCCAGCGCAGCACGCGACTGGGCCAACGGAAAAGACAGCGCAGCCAGCGGCGCAGCAACACCTGTTTGGATCGCGTTCGATGAACATGTGTACATAAAGTGTATGTGTTGAAAAACATAAGAATCAACGTTGATATGACTACAGACATGCATATATATATATATATGCGAATTTTGCAATTCATGCTCATTCCACGACAATGTATTTCAAGATCAAGTGCCTCGGGGGTAAAATAGTCGCTGCTCGTTTACCTGTTTTACATGGTAGCGGGTTGCCTGGTTGTTACCGACCGGTAAGACCAGAAAGAAGAAGGAGAAAACAGGTTCCAGGGCGTCACTGAGCTACACAGCAGAGGTGACATGGAGCGACAGAGAAACAAAGAAGGAGTACCCACCTATGCTGGGGAACCGGAAAGACTAGCGTTGTACAAAGAAGAAGCCTTGCAATATGCAATGGGGCTAGAACACAAAAAGAGATACCTTGCAGGGCCAAGGTTACTACAAGAGTTGACAGGGGTGGCAAAGACAATCACCCGGACACAGACCTTGAGGGACCCACAGTGGCTGAGCCATCCCCGAGGCGTTTACCAGCTACTTGAGTTCCTAGAAACTGAGCTCGGCAAACCATCTCTAGTAGAAGCAAGCAGACACGTGATGAAGTTCTTCTACGGCATGTCTAGGCACAAAGGCGAGAGCATGACAGAGTGGAGCGCAAGACATGCAGAAGGACTATGGGAGGCATCCGCAGCTTTGAGGCGTGTGCAACGAGAATATGGAGGACAACCAAAGGACACACCAAAGCCTAGTACCACCTACTCGGCAAGCTATGGGCAGCAAAGCGGGTGGGACTGGGAGTCACAAAGATCAGCAACAAGTGGACCTTTCAGAGCTGATGGAAGGCTTGATGAAGATGACGAAGATGGTGATGATGCTGATGCTCAAGGGCAAGGTCGTAATGTCTATGAATGGTGGCATGAAGATACTCGGGGCTGGGATTGGTCCCAATCAGGGGGAACCTGGTCAAAGGGATCTTGGAGGTCCACAGACTTCGAGCCTCCAGCTCATTGGGATGTGAGTGAGGAGATTTTCATCCCGGAGTTCCTGGCTGGATTTCTTCTCTTACACAGGTCAGGACTTGACCCAAATGAGAAGGCCAACATTCTAGGGGTGATCAAGGGCGAGTTCAACACTCGCACAGTCAGCCGAGCCCTACGTGAACAGTGGTCAGACCAGGATTTGGCCCGACGTGACAAACTCAAAACCGGAACGGCCTACATGACTGAGAATGAGCCCAATGAAGACGAAGCCCTGGACGCAGAAGAAGGGTGTCCAGACTATTTGAATGAAGAGGAGTTCCAAGCTTACGTCACGGAGGAGGAGAAGATCCAATCAGCCATGACGGCCATCCGGGCCCAGAAAGCGACGCTTCAAGAGGCACGCTGGAAACAGCGTCAAATCAAACTGGGTAGGAGGTTTTACCCAGAGAAACCCTATGAGAAACAGAACACCGGAGGTGGCAAGGGAAGCAAAGGCAATGTCCAGTGTTTCCGCTGTGGAGGCCCACACTTCAAGGACAAGTGCCCTCTCAACCAGACCAAGCAGGCACAGGTCACAGAAGAGGCAGCAGAGATAGTCTTTGGTGCCGAAGAGACAACACAGCATGCGTTTCAGGGAGAAGGAGACCTACAAGGAGGGGGGTGAATGATGTGGTGAGCCAATGTATGGGAGTCATTGACTCTGGGGCGACTGCATCCTTAGGATCAGTAGATGCGATGGAACACATCATGAAACACAACCTCTCCGAGAAGGGCACGAGCCGCATGGAGGTGGACTTTGACAAAAAGCCGGTGTTCAAGTTTGGGAATGGGGCCAGAAAGGAATGTCTATCTACTGTGCAAATGTCAGTAGATGCAGGAGCCAAAAAGGGAGCTATGGAGGTGCACATTCATGATGCACCCCAACAGCCAGTCTTAGTGTCAAGGAAGGCATTGGCCTCACTTGGTGCTACCATCGACTTTGCCAGCAACAAGGTGATCTACTCTAAGGTGGACCCGACCATGGTGGTGCCTTTGACCCAAGCTCCAAATGGACACCTACTGATGCCTCTGACCGGAAATTTGCTGACAGGTGGAACCAAAAGGGTGACACCGTTTTGTGGCTTAGAAGCGGAATAGGGACAACTCTCCCCTGGCAACATGGACTGTAAAAAGGGTCAGGGGAGCCAAGAGCCAATTTTGTGTTGTACAGAAGCGTTTTCCGTTTGCCATCAGTGTGAGCTGCAATCTCGTAGGGGAACTTTTTGTTTATTTTGTGAGGAACACACAGGTCAAGATATTTCCAAAGAGAAAGATGTTTTTGAAAGTGATTTTTGTGGTGGTAGTAACGTTTTTGAGAAACAACTTGATCTTGAGCCGCACACAACACACACAGAGAAAAAGCCGAACGTGAAGGTGCACCAAGCTCAGAAGTTAGACTTAGTTCCAGGACAAACACCGCTCCTTCCTAGCCATCATGCCTTTGCCTACGACTCATCAAGGATGGGTGGACATGTATCGAGCGATGGGGGAGGAAGTTCCAAAGACCTGGACACTTGCGCAACTTCGAGCACACTGGGAAGACGTGAAAGTGACGTCCAGCATGATGGAAGTGGACACCTTGGAATACCAGATGAAACAACTCAAGAAGGCCAGCCGCAAAAAGGGCAATCTTCTGGAGTTCTTGGCAGACCAGGGAGTCCATCCAAGCACCAACATGACAATTGCCCAGTTGATGAACTTTGGGGAAAAGGAGATCACTCAGCGATTCGAACCGACAGAGACAGAGTATGTGGGGTTTGGCAAGCACGGCAACCTCACCTATGCACAGATTGCGGACCAGCACCCCTCTTACCTTACTTGGGCCACCAAGGAGGTTCAGGAGTCAGACGACCCTGGATGGAGACTGGTGAGACTGGTGAGGTGGCATGCCCAGCAACGTGCCAAGAACAAGGTGAAAGGGAAGATGACAACCCCAATGTCCCCAGAGATGGACACCAAGAGCCAGGGCAGTTTTTCCTTGATCAGCGAGTCACCACACATGGAAGAGAAGGCAGAGTTGGAGAAGATGCGAATGATCCTCAACCAGAAAATGCTGGAGGTGCAGGAGAAAGAAAAGGAGTTGGAGAAGGAGAAGGCAGAATTCGACCATACCCAGAACCGTCACAAGAACCGCAAGGAGAACCAGTAGACACAGGATATGACGGAGAAGCACCTCTGCCTGATGAGACAGCCCTGATGCTAGCAAAAACATGGCATCACCAACGAAATCCTCTGAGCCGGGAGTGGCATAGTCTTGTGCGCCATGGCCGTCCTCTGTTGATGGAACTTGCATGTTTTCCAGATAGTGTTTTGAGTAGTGAAGTAGAAAAACGGTTTGGAGCAGGCTCAGCAATCAGAGCTAGTGAATGGAATGGTGCAGACTTGGAGACAGAGGAAGGAGTGAAGCATGCTATAAGTCTCATTAGGAGATTTCGCCCAGCACACCTCTGGATTTCATGCGAGTGCGGACCATTTTGCCCCCTCCAAAGACTCAACCAGCGAAGTGATGAACAATGTGAAAGATTGCAAGGAAAAAGAAACAGAGCACTTCAACAATATTTGGGGGCAATGGAAGTGGCTAGGATAGCCAAAAAGCTGAAAATAGAGGTACACTGGGAATTCTCCACAAGGTCGGAGGCCTGGAAATTACAGGAGATCCAAGACTTTCTGCATGAAATGAACATGAAAAAGGTGTCATGTAGCGGCTGCACAGTGGGGCTACGAACCAAAGATGGGAAACTATCTTTATGCAAAGGGTGGACAGTGGCAACTCAGAATCAAGATCTCCTGTCACATCTTGATCTCAAATGTCAGAAAAATCATCCCAGAGGAAAATGCGAAGCTGGACAGACTGCGCACACTGCACGATACACCATTCCATTTGCCAGAAAAGTGATTGACGCTATTTCCAATTCAGAAACTTGGTCCAAGATAGTTGAGACTGTCTCCAAGAATTACCAGGAGATAGCACAACCAGCAGAAGAAGATGTGGACATGGGACCCGCAGCACACATCAGCGACAAGGAGAAGCTAGAGATCCTGCATCAACTTCACAAAATACATCGCAATACGGGACATGGCAGCAAAGAGTCGTTGATCAAAGCTCTAAAAGACAGAGGAGCAACACCGACAGTATTAGAAGTGGCAAAAGAATGGTCATGTGACATGTGTGACAAAAGGAAACAAAGGGATCCCAGACGTTTTGCAACGCTGGAAACGTTACCTCAAAAATGGGAGAGAATTCAAGTTGATGGAGCAACATGGATGCATCCCATTACAAAGATCAACTATCACCTTTTTGTGATTATTGATGAGGGAAGTAGATTCAGAATGGCAAGAATAGCAGCTGAAGGACCAGGGAACACGACAAACTGGGAACGAATCAAAACCATTTTGGAGGAGAGCTGGTTTCCAATTTTTGGCATGCCAAAGGCCATCAGAACTGATTCAGCAGGACCTATGACTAGTGAAGCAGCTGATGCATACACTAGAGAACGAGATATTGAACTACTTCCTATTCCAGGTGAGGCGCACTGGCAGATTGGTATTGTTGAGGGAGCTATCAAGTCCATCAAGGGTATGCTTGACACTATGGTATCTGATTTTCCCGATATTTCTATGGAAGAACTTTTAAGTCGTTGTATTTGGGTGTGCAATCAACAAGAGACATACAAGGGTTATACAGCTATGCAACATGCCCTAGGACGTGCACCTGACGAACAAGGAAGGTTTTTCCAGGATGATACCATGAGACCTATTGCACCTGAACTTTTGGATGATGGTGGTTTTAGAACCAACGTAGAAGTGATGACAGCAGCAGCAAAGAGCTTCATTTCTGAACAGGCCAAGAGACGTATCGAAAGAGCTCTACGTATGGGCTATCGTTCACAAACAGCTTTTGTTCCTGGGGATTTGGTATACTACTGGCGCAAACAAGTACCTCTGTCTCAGAAAACAACTCAAAAGCATGGTATGTTCCTAGGACCCGCCAGAGTGATCGCAACTGAAACCAGGAAAGAGACCTCCGGAGAACTACGACCAGGAAGCATTATTTGGCTTCATCGAGCAGGCAGACTGATCAAGGCATGTCCGGAACAACTGAGACATGCTTCACCACTGGAGGCACAACTGGAAAGTTTGAAGGGACCACTAGATTTACCATGGACTATTACCTCACTAGCTACATGTCCAAAACGTCGCACCTTTTTGGATATTTCCTATGAAAAACCAAAAGAGGATGAGTGGAACAAAGCAATGGATCTAGATCCGGCCACACCAGGACCAGAAGAGGCAGTACCAAGACAGAGATTGACTGGAAAAAGCACAGTAGATGACCATGGTAGAGGGATCAAGAGAGAGGGTATCTCCATTCGTTCCACTGAGGTAAGACAACCTGATCCACAACGACCTCGTATTGGCGAGGCAAGCAGTTCCAATTCAGCGGCAGCAGCACCCGAAGAGGACACAGATCTACAGGCAGAGATTTTCTATTCTGTAGAAGAACATCGAACTTGTTTTGCCGTTGAATGGGAAGTACCAGATACAAGAAGAGGCATCAAGAAATTTTTGAGAAATCCTGAAGCCTATGTGTGTAGTCAAATGAGACGGAAGGCGGTAGAGGTCAGAGAGAACAGACTGACACAAGAGGAAGCTTTGCGTTTTCACAAGGCCAAGGAGAAGGAGGTGAAAAATTTTATTTCTTCTGAATGCTTTGAATTGATCAAAGACAGATTGCCTGAGGAAAAACATATCGTCGGCATGAGATGGCTTTTGACGTGGAAGCCAGACGAGACAAGTGAGGACGGCAAAAAGGCAAAGGCACGGGCAATTATTCTTGGCTATCAGGATCCCAATTATCATGAAAGACCTACTTCATCACCTACTCCCTCTCGCGCAGGGAGACAACTTTTTCTTCAACTGGCAGCATGGAAACAGTTTAAGATAAAGAAAGGAGACGTTTCAGGAGCCTTTTTACAAGGTGACAAGTTAGAGGATGAGATTTGGTGTAGACCTGTTCGAGAAATCACTGACCACCTAGGTTTACCTGAAAATACACCTATGTTATTGCGTCGTGCAGCTTATGGTCTTGTACAAGCACCCCTACAATGGTATGAAAGTCTTTGTCGAGCTCTTCAACAACTGGGGTATAGAAGATTACAAATGGAACCATGTAGCTGGGTATGGGTTGACGATACTGGGTGTGTTCGTTCAGCTATTCATGCACATGTTGATGACATGATGTTCGCGGGCAAGGAACAGGACACAATACATCAAGATCTACTTTCAAAATTGAAGACACGTTTCAACTGGGGAGAATGGGAAACTGGCAATTTTACTCAATGTGGTATTGATATTATTCAGAATGATGACTACGGTATTGAACTCACTCAAGAACATTTTATCGATCAACTGGAGGAAATCCGCATTTCCAAAGCGCGTAGTCAGGAAACTTTGAGTGGAACCACAGACAGTGAAAAACGGGAGCTTCGAGGAGCTCTTGGGTCACTATCATGGCTTTGTGGACAGACATGCTTTTTATTTTCCGTTGATGTCAATTTCTTTATCACAAAGATCCCATTCAGCACTGTCAATGATATACTACTGGTGAACAAACTGATACGAGATATCAAGAAGGCCAAGCATATCAAATACAAAATACATAGTTTTGAGACGGACCAACCACTGGAACTGATATGCTGGTCCGACGCTGCGCATGCCAATCGTCCAAATGAAGTGGATTCTACGGAAGGAATTTTTATTGGTATGTCAACACACAAACTTCGTGAGGGTTTTGAAGAAGGTGTTACTCCCATTCACTGGCGCTCAGGAAAAATACCACGCGTATGCAGAAGTTCCGCTTCGGCAGAAACACTTGCTTCACTGGATGGCGAGGATGATTTGGTATTTTTGCGAATACTCTGGAGTGAACTACAAGGACACCTGATCAACCCACGTGATGTTAATGGTTCTGCAATGAAAACACCTGGTTTAATGATTACTGACGCAAAAGATCTGTATGATAAGCTTTCTTCTACAGTTGTGGTCATCAAGGGCGCAGAGAAACGATCATCTATTGAAGCTCTGAGTTTGAAGGAAAATTTGAATGACAGCAATACACCACTTCGATGGGTCAATGGAGGTGCTATGATTGCCAACTGTCTTACTGAAACACCAAGGCTGGCTTTACATCAAAATGTCCTTTAGATGGCGCATCACCTATGATGCAGAGATGAACAGCGAAAAGAAGTTGAAGGCCGCAGGACTGAGCTGCTTACAGCTCTCCAAACATACACCACACGTGCACACACAGCGCGATTTGAGCTGATTCGTTGTTTTGTGTTTTGTGTTTTGTGTTTGAATGTTTAGGAAAAACGACCTGTCACATTGTGTTCCATGATTTATCCGTGGTTTTCCCATAAAAATGATGGGGATCCATGCGAATTTTGCAATTCATGCTCATTCCACGACAATGTATTTCAAGATCAAGTGCCTCGGGGGTAAAATAGTCGCTGCTCGTTTACCTGTTTTACATATATATATGTAAAATAATATGTACATATGTATATATATATATGTATATATGTATATGTATATAATATATTATATTATATGGGTGTGTGTGTATAGATATAAGTCAAGATTTTGAATTGTATAACAATAACACAAACATATATATATATGTATATATTATACAGATGTGTATATATATATATAGTACATATGTTGCATTGCATGAAATCACAGTGCATCATATTGGATACAAAGCGCGCGCTTGGTAGATGTGCACACAGATTGGTGGCAGGTCAGGTGGGCTTTTTGGAGAAGATTGGATGGATGACCACCCAGAGAATTTGCCTCGAGCTTCCAAGTCAAAGTCACAAAATCAGTTTTGCAACATATGTACCCCCAACTCAGTGCCACGTCATCTGTAGCAGTCACATATACACGTGTTCACGTGTTCACGTGTTCATATGCATGTATACCTTGAACGGATAATGATATAGATATATAAATTAGATATATTAACATTGATTTTATTCATATATCAATTATATAAAAAAAAATGCGAGTATTGTATACCGCCAAGAAATTGTGTCTCCCATACAGCTGCAATCATACACGTCCGCCAAGGCACAGTCAGCACCAAGCCTCTACCCAAGGTGCCCCAGCGGCCGGGCCCCACCGCAGCCAAGGACAGAAGTCCAAATATGGCGCCAAAACGGAGATACAGCGGCACCTCCAGATGTTTAGAAAACATAACAAGCCCCGTGTGGTGCCAGGTGGGGGGGTGGGACCCCTAAAAACAATAAAAGTTAAAATAACATGCAGGGGCCTAAGAATAAAATGTAAATAAAATGATAGGGCATAAGGTAAGATACGATAATCCAAGCAAAACACATCACATCACATGACGTGACGTGACGTGACACAACATAGCCTAACCAGCAAAAGATGGGGGCAACTGGTCAACAAACATTATTGTTTACAGGTTTCGGTGACAAGGCGTTGTTTTAACATCAAGTCATGTCAAGTTCTGCATAAGCAACAAAAATAGTGATTTCATCAATCAAATAGATGGGGAGCTAATCCATCAGCATTGGAATTTAAGCAGAAGATATGTTCATGAGATGACCTGCAAAGCTATCAGTGACAGTTGATATCTACGGCCATGATAATGAATCATAATGATGTACAGGGAATTATGGGGATGTAGCTAGACTTCAAAGACTGATATGACTGCTTTTCGGTTAGACTTGCATGACAAGCACCATTGGTAAAGATTGAATTTCAATCGTGATTCATCTGATTCTTGATCATCTTGATGGCGATTGGTCCTTCTCCCAACAGGATGCTTTGGCAATTGAAAGGGAATGTTATCCGAATACAACCAGCGCCTTGCCATAACAGAGCTGCAGTTGAGTGGCCATGGCGCGTTGGCCGGGACGTCAGCTGGCAACTCTTCGTCTTTTTTTGCATCTGTTTTTTTTTGTCTGAATGGATTTCACACCTGATGACACCAGCAGTAACCTCGCCGAAGCGTGCTAAAGCTGTGAGCGAAGTCAGATTCATGTGATCTGTGACCATTTCAGGAGCCAATGCAAAACGGCTTCCGCAATAGTCCAACAACGTTCATGCCGGGCGATGGCTTTGAGTTGGCACTTTCATCAGGTCCAGCCTCTGCAGTGGACTTGGGATTGTCATTGCACTGCAACCAGCCAACCTTTGCAAGTCCGAGCAGGTTGAGATCTCAACAGCATGTCACGCAGTCGGATCTCCAACAAGAAACGTTGCATTTTCATGTTTGTTGCAGCAACACGTGGTGTAAGGGGAAGTAGGCTGCATCTGCTGATTCTAACTAGAGGCTCGAGAAGGCTTGCAGTGACAGCCAGTTAGGCAGAAGAGTTTGGAGCGATGAGCTTTGACCTATAGTGGCACATGCTCTAGCATAGAAACATATAGTAACCTCATGTTTGCAGGTATTCATGGCTCCCCCTTTGAAAAGTGAAAGATCGATTGGTCACAGTTGCCACCACAAGTGCCTTTTTGGGGGGAGACCAACAAGCTCCATCGCCAGATCCCACCTGCTTGATGCCCTCCTTGGGTTTGTTGTTAACGTCCTGGACATACCTGACTTGAGAGCCCCAAGTCACCCAAGTAGGGGCCTCCTGCGGTATCTGCCAGTTGTCACTCCAAGATCAAACAGCATTCTTCCAGCATGTAGCCGCTCAAATCCATTCAAATCCTACAAAACAGATCAGGGCCGATCTCTGAAAAGGGACGGGTCTATCTGAAAATTTAGGGGAAAATCCCATGGCACGTCCAAACATCCTGGTTTGTCATCATTTCTGACATTTCCCCCTATCAAAATGGCCACTTTCCTCGGTCAATCCCCAGCCCAGTGCTCCATCCCGCCTCAAGGGATAGCGCCAAAAGGCCTGACTCTTCTCCCAACTCACCTGGCAGTGGTCAAGTGACCTGAGATCGCTTTGTATCAACAGATATAAAGTAACTGTTTATTCTTAGATCCTTAGGCCCACCATCAGGCCTCCCATATGACCCATATGTGTGTATATAGTATATATGAGCGATTGTGAAAACCCTAGGTTCACGGAAAGGACATCCACAAATTTGGGAAGGTCCCATCGCTTACCACACGTTTGTACAATAATGATATATGGTAAACTTGGGGGGTATCGCTTGCAGGAAACTGCTGCATTTATATATATATATATATGTGATGAACTATGAATAATATGTGATATTTGGGTATCGCTAATGTGGATATTAGAGAAATATGATGACATAACCTTGAAAAGGGGTATCGCTAATTTGGGAAGGTCCCATCGCTTACCTCGTGTCTTTAACAATTTCCATCAATTTCCATAAACCTATGTCCGTCGAATACATATTTAGTATTGCCGGGGTTTTTACGGTTGCTCATATATAGAGAGAGAGAGAGAAAGAGAAAGTTTATTCTTTAGGCCTTACCATTTGACTTTAATAAAAACATGTAAATCGCTTTTGGCCATCCCACATAATGATGGTCAACTTTCTTTGGAGCTAGCGCCTGGGAAAATTGTTGACCCTCAAAACCCAGAGTGCATGACCCGTTTGGTATCCCTGCTGAGTTTGCCAATGGTGATCCCACACATGGGATGAAAAGTCGCAAATGTCTGCCTCACGAAGGAATGAGTCTGTATATGTTGGTATGAGGGAAGAACCAGCATCAACAAACATTCAGCAAATATGAATCAAAGTAATCAAAGTACTATAGATTCTAATTGTCATTGTGATTTTGGTATTCAAGATTCATCCAAGCAGTACTAGGAATGCTAGCCCATGCATTTTTTGAGATCAAGGATTGATACCCAATCCGGACCTGCCACGGCTTCTTGAGCTTTTGGACTTTCTTGTCAGCATCGGTCACCTGCCACAGCTTCCCCTGAGCCCCTGATGGCCGACTGAGTCAGTTTCTGGCCTCTTGGACCAGGAAGTGAGCACTCTCTGTGGATTGCCTCGGCCACAAAGACCAGCTTGGTGAATCTCTGGATGCTTTGACCATCTTTGACTAGGCGGCAATGACAAATCATCTATCCACAAAGCTCCGACTCCAGGCGGCAACAGTTCCAGCCCAAGGCCGTGTTCACACTGGGCGCCCGGCTGTCCATGTTCCAAAGTGACCGTAAGGACCATCTGCAAGAATCATCCGTGTGATTGCATGGCTGAAGTACAAGGAGATCTGTTCCAATCATTGGCTCCATCATTGGCTCAAAACTGAGTTCAGCAATAGCAAAACTATGATGCAAACCCTCAGCAACCCTGGACCTTCATCTCGCAATCCATCTGCTCAGAACCATCATTGGCACAGCTTTCCAGCCTGCAAATGACAATGAACAATAATTTCACATCTCCTCCAGACCAAAACAACATATATACAGTAAACTCATCAACTCATCTCCCGCTGAGTTGGACAGCAAGTTGGACATGTGATGATTACTAATCATTACAGATTTATTTTTGTATATTTTTGTTGCTGGGTTTTTCCAACAGGTTCCAACATGTTCCAACTCTCCGCGACTCGGCCTACTGGAACTCAAGACCGAGGCAGCTGTGAGGATGGGCAACAAAGGTAGCCTGGCAGTGAGCGGAGAGGCCTAATTAATGGGTGACGGGTTGTCTTGGCCACACTCTAAAAGTCAAAGACTATAGAATTGCGGATTCTAGAGGCTTACGAGTCCAAACTTGAAATCCATCATCCCTGGATGTCCATGGTGCGGGAAACTCGCCGGACGAGGCAAAACCGCTGACATCGCATGCTGCTCAACGCGTCACTGGACGGTCGCGCAGCCCCGCGGTCGGGGCTCGACTGCAAATGAATGGCACAGACTCTCCCTGTTCTAAGACCCCTGAATTTCTTTCTTGTATGAGTCATTGAATGAGGTATGAACATGTATGTGATTGTATGTGTCTCCCACCAATAAAACGAAATTCCTGACACTGAGCAACTGTTTCTATTTTGGGCACGCGGCGTTCAACTGTTAGTTGTACGCATAAGCTCTCATCTTCCGTGAAACTGAAGTCCTTCACATCAATCTACAACAAGCCTTGAGATGAAAGCTGAAAACGCAAATATCCTTGTCGGCGTGCAGGTTTGCAGGGTTATGACACCTCATCAAATCTCTGAGTGTTGGGACAAGGGAGTTGTTTTCTTTACGTCACGCAAATGCAGCAAAGGCTTCTTAGCTTCTTGTCACCTGATTCTGCTCATGATTCCAGCCATGTGGAATGTTGTACAAGCACGTGTTGCATTGGGAGGCTGTACAAGGACAGTCAAAAAGAGTATCAGATGCGAAACCAGCCCTGCAGTGATGGAGCGCAGTGGCCTTGGAATTGTGGAATCGAAACTCTTACAGGGTTTGTGCAGAATCTGAAATGAAATGCATTGTTTGATATTGTTTGGTGATAGATCATGGGGCTCATACCCACAAGATCCCACGGGACTATTCTCTGTGGTTGAGCTTGAGAACCCCACATCGTAAAATTGCTAGAGCGAAAATATCCTGCTCACAGTCTCTCCTGCTGGTAGATTTGAAGCTACTGCCAGTGGGTTTGTGCCGCTTCCCAACCTATATCAACAGCACTGAAGATGTTTCAGGCTACAGAAACGGTGAGAATTGGTATCACCGCACATTTTTTGCGATGCCGTTGGCAGATCAATCTATAAACTATAAACTTTTACGTGGTATTGGTCTGGTCGCATTGTTGGCATACAAGTGCTTGCGCAGCTATTCCGTGCCATACCATGTTATACATGTTGTACCATGTTCTTCCCCTTTCTCACCCGCATCTCCCCAATGTCGGACCCCCAGTCTTGGCAATCTTTCAGCACCGTTCTTTTGCTCCCAGGCCCTGTTGATGTCGGCATCGCTTGAACTCCTGCAACACTCGGGGACAAGTTGATGACAAGAAACATGCTGAAGAGATCTGAAAAGGGTGATCCAACCAACAGAATTCGGAATGAGACTTGAGCCCCAAAGGTTGGTAAGTCAAGTGATTCGAAGCGAGATGCAAGGGGGAACATGGAAAGGAATCAGTGAGGTCGAGCATGGGAGGCGGAGTGATTTGGGGCGCGTAAATTGGAGTGAGTTGGACAAAATTACTGCGAGTGAGTTAAAGTGCAGAACGAACTCTGTCAAACCCTGAAGATAGCGGTATCTTGTTCACTTTCCCAAGCCAAAAGCATATTTGTGCGACTGTCTAGCGGCAGTGTTTCAGCCAAAGCTAGCTTCGGGCGTTTGAGCCACAGCGATGGTATCTATGTGGTTCGTTTTCTGCTATAACTTGCAATGAAGAAAAACAGTGCACACTGTGTAACTATAGCATTGTTTTGCGTGTTTTTTCGTGTCAAAAATGTTGGCAGGCGAACCAAGTTTATGCCCCGCAATAAAATGAAATGAAGCATTCATGCGAAGAGTAAGGGATCCAAAATGTGACCACTGACCACCGGAGCAAACAAGGAGAATAGTTCTTGAATATGTTCCACGTGATTTCACATGATTTTACGCTTCTCTTTACAAATGAAGCAAGTCTTGATGCATCAATAGCTAACACAGAACAAGTGGGTGCAACTGGATCCTTTCATTTCTGACTTCCGCCGGAAGCTTCGACTTAAGACTCTTTGAGACCCTTTCACCACCAGGATTATGCGAGGCCAGGGTCTGCCAATAGATCCGATAGATCCGATAGTATGAGAATTCAGTAAATGATGATAATATGTTTTTTTAACCGGTGGTGCCAACACCACTTCGCGCATGCTCGGCCCGCAGGACAGACTACAATCGTGAACAAAGGTCGCAAACTTGAGAAAATATACTGACAGAAAGACACAAAGGGCTAAAGCGGTCGTTCAAAACCCCCGACGCGTAGT